GGGGGGGGGGGGGTTTGTTGGGTATATGGGTTCGGGGTCGATGCTCGAGTCTAGGTATGCCAATCGTGTGCAAGTCACTAAGCTTTGAGATAATAGTAGAGTAAACAACAGGAGCAGGTAGCCATGTGTTGCAGGGAGGTAGTTTGCGGGTGAATTAGGGTGCTAAAATAGGGGCGGCTCGAGAGATCCACCCCGGCGACGGGGCGTTTCGGTACAGTTGGTCACTAGGGTGGTGACTTGTAAGATTTTTCTTATTGATTTTATCTCTCGGTGCAGTGCCAGAGCGCCCGAGGGTAACGTCCAATGAGACTTCTGTGTTGCAAAGCCTGGACTGTTGTTCGGGTCGGTGAAAGTGGTTCGTCGATTAGCAGGAAGAAAGCTGATTAAAGAACTGGATCTCTCCACGTGCTTTCGTAATTCTATTAGAATGTTAGGTACCAGGTGCCAGTTATCTGATTTGTTGTGGTCTGTCAGTGAGGAATGAAAATCTTGAATATATATGTATACAGGCTACCTGTTCCTGCTGTGAGATTCAATATTTTGGTTTTACGTGTAAATCAAGGTACGATCGGAGCCCGATTTGACGAGCTGATTTTAAAAAATTGTTAATCCGTGCGACTCGGCAGATTCATAGCTTCTCCGTCGGCTGCTTTTCAGTTAACGAATCCCCGGGGCGGTTTCATTGGAATTACTTTTTACGTGGGTCGTTATGAAATTTCTAGCAGGTGGATGTCGCCCCGCAGTTCGTCTTCTGTTTCTGGAAGAATAACCGCGCGACGATGGCACCTTGTCGACGACCAGGGCGGACGGGGCTTGCTTTTCCTGGAACCGAGAGTATCTACCTATCGTATCCAGACACGAAGTGTGCTCCTTCGGCTGGTCCGCACCGCCTCTTGACGTCGGGGTTCCGCCCCGCGAGTTTGACGGCCTGCCCTCCGCGGGAGCCGCCCCCGCTCTTCGAACAGGAATACAGGAACTCGAAGAAACCGTTGATCTGGCTCTTTGTGGTTGGGCTCGGTAGGAGACCTTCCTGATCCTGTAAGTTTCTTGCCCTCGTAGTTCCTTCGTTATCCCATTGCCACCTCCTAGAGACAGCCATTTGCAATACCCCGGAGATATCAGGAGCTTAAGTTATAGTACGTCAAACTTGAGTCCTCTGGCGATCGAAAATCATTAATTATAAATAAAGCAAGAAAAAATATTTAAAAACCCAACTCGATCAGCTTACATTATTCTTTTCATTTTGTTACCGATCACTATTTACCGGTCGGTTAATTACGGATCCTCCATCAACCCTTATTTGCCTAATGGAATTTGTGTCCACATGAAAACGATGCTCTCCCTCGTCGTGGCTCTATAATAGCACCCGCATCAGTCAACCCCAACGCCCATAAGCTTCTCACACTTATCATTAACCTGGTACAGTACCCCTCCAGTGCCGTAGGAATTAGGCTGTAATGGCCTGGAGGCGTACACAAGCACGAGACGTGTCCCTGATACCGGGAAGAGCCGAAAGCCGGCGCGGCGCGCATGGGCTAAGTATGGCGAAGCAGGGAGGAGAGAATTGGCCGTCCATGCCCAGAGACGAAGGGCCGCATGCGTAATAGGGCCAGTACCGTCGGTGCGTGCCAACTGGGTGCGTGGATGCTGACGGTTGACGAAGGGTCGTACGGAGATCAAGGGGGAAACGCGACGGCCCGGAATATCATACCCGGATGGTAACCCCCGGGAGGGATGGAGATTCAGTTTACAGTGAAATCAGCTAAACTGGGGTGGTATGGGGTTGGACGAAGGGCGAGCACGTGTGGCCAAAAGGGTGCGACTTCGTCCACGGCCAGCCCTCGGGGAGACCGCGCCCACGCATTTTCAACAGGATTACAGAATGCGACAAGAGTTCGGTTGGCCTTGAATCTTCCGCCGCGGGGACCTTCGAAGGGCCAAGGGACTCCGTGCTGCCTTCTACTTGTCTCTCGCGCCGCAACGGCCGATTTCATCGGAAGGGGCGGAGAGAAACTGGTTTTTAAAGCCCACGGGCGTTCCTAAGTGTCCCGCTGGTGTGTACGGATAATTGCCACTGTGAATGGGAGTTGGTTGCCCCTTAGTCCCAACGCTCTCCCACTGCCGGGTCGGTGCCTTTTTCTTGCAGGCAAAGGCAGGGCGCGCTGTTGTCGCTGTCGATAAACACGAGTCTGACAATGTAAAAAATATATATATTTCGACATAAGCCCACGTAGAATCGACAACTTACCCTATTTTCTCTTACCTGAACAAAAAGTGTATTCCAATCCGTTTTGCGTTATATAACCTGAAAGGTCAGCAATGGCCGACGTTAACGGCCCTGTGCGTTTTAGGGTCCTCGTAACCTTTGACTTTACGTATATCCCACTTTATAGTCCTACGCTTGATCTCTGAGAACGAGAGAACCCACCCACGCATTTTGAACAGGACTTCAGAATTCGTGGGTAGGTACCCATAGGGCATGCATAGACGGTGGGAGCCCTTGAAGGGACTAATCGAGCCTACGACATAAGCATTAGCTGAGAAGGGATTGATCCATTAGATTTTCATACTCTCCTGTCGTCAATCTTCAACGTTTCGGAGTCAATTTTCAGATACTATCGATACTGATATTTTTTATCAAGAAATTTATACCAGTTCGTCCGGGCTATTCGTGAACAAATATCTTATCAGAATCAACATCGATTTTTGACGCTATACGATTTTTATTATTAACACGCCCATAAGACGCTTATGACTTCGCGTAAGGGATTACAGGCGGTGGAGCGAGGCTGGGGAGCAGGAGGGCCGCAACGATGGAACAGGGACGTCATGACGATCCTGAAAGGGGGTTGCTAGGGCTGCAGGAAGATTTTCACGAAATATGACAGCTACGTCATAACGCGAACTCCTACTCCTCCTGCTATCCTACTTTCCCGAGTATGAAAGATATGAATCGTCATATCTCCCCCATCAAGCCTTCCAAGCGTCACGTATATTAGAAATACATAAGATTATCCTTCCGTGTACTAGAAAATTGGACATTGAAGGAAACAAAGGTAACTCTATGGAATGTCATTTTGCAGCCTCGCAGAAAAAGATTTTCAACTGCGCGATAAATGATAATTACAAAAGATCGATCTAGACCGCAGCTTATTCTACTCGAAATAAAAGATTTACAGTGGTATTGAATTCTTTTGAATTATGAATATTTTGCTTTCAGGTACGTCGAATTTTTTGGCTCGAGGTGACAAGGAACTTCTTCGAGCACCATGTTGTGCGTATATATATATATATGCATGGTACGGTAGATTTACCACGAGAAAGTTCCACCTCCTCCGTTAGCAATATGCGACTCTGGTTCTTCAAGTTTCCCGCGCTGGCACCTCTTTCACTCGTTTATTCTCCTGCTACGCCGATGTAACGGAGTTGTTTACACTGCGCATGTAATATTCCACCATACTAGTCCGCGCCCGTTACCACCCGTTCGTACATCGCGGGCTGGAGGGACGTTAGCAACCCTATTTTTCTTTACAAGCTGCAAGTTTTTGCAACGCTCCCACCTGTTCGATTCGAACGTCGACGGCGCCATTTTGGAATTTAGTTACCAGAAATTGAAGAAGAGATGCCGAGAAGGGATGAATATGTCTCCGGTTGATCGTCCCAAGGAAACAGGAGTCCATAGTCGTAGTGACGGAAGAAAATGGTTTAGCGAAACGTTACATTTGAATTTTATATAATTCTCATAGAAAATATTGTCATTTAAATAATTGGAGAATCGTGTTCGCTACTGTACCTGATGCTCGCTGATTGTGAGATTGATTAATTGAAAGCTGAGCAAAGTTGAAAAGTACTGCTCTTTTTCGTAGGACGCGGAGAATAAAAATGGGCGGACAGTCCAAGTCTATCGATTTAATCGGGAAAGATCAGGATAGCAGAGTATGAAGGGCGGTTTAATCTGACATAAATTACAGTAATTACATTGGAACAGCAGGAACACATAAGGAGCCAATGGGATCCTTCGCTGGGACCCTTACTATTATCATTGTAACCGAGGCCAGCCGGTTCCCGTGAATACGGCAGAAATGGCTGCAGAGAAAAATACCAAGAGATTCTGACCTGCAGGAACTGGTGGAATGGAGGATTACCGCGAGTATACGTAGAGAAAAGTCTGCTTAGAACGGACCCTGAAGACAAGACAGAGGTAAACAAGTGTAGTAAGAAAACACGCGAGGGCAAGAAGTGGCAGTGAAACCCTCAGCCCTATGTCCCGTATCCCGAAGTGAACGTCTGTCAAAGAGACGAAGTAACACGGTGGGGAGTAAGAAAGATGAGGAGTTCTTTTACTGCAATAAAAATCACTACTACGCGGTAGGACGGATGCTACGTGGGATTTGATTGTCGAGCTCTGGAAATATTAGAATACTCGAATAAGTAAGGTTCCCATACATTCTTTTTAGCCTCTGCTCAAAAACCAAAAACTCTGCTGCAGACCTAAGCAGAGTCAAAGCAATGACTAATAAACACCGAAGGAAGTCCTATGAAGAAATAAAATAGAAGCTGTAAAATTCTAATCGTCGAATCCGAGTGGAAGCCAAGAGAATTGCAATACAAGTTTCATCAGGATCACATCCTGCCACGGAGCATTTGCCTAGGTGTCCGGTGTTAAGGACAAAGGATCACGTGAAAAGAGGAAGTTCAAGGAACAGCGGTACACCACTCGTCGAGATGATATCCTTATGGGAAAGGATACGTATCCTTGTTAAGAGGAAACAGAATGGAGGATACACCGATTTCAGTATTTTGAATAAAGGAAGAATTAACGATAAAAGGTATGGGACTAAGGAACAGCGATACGATTCTCATCAGGATGACATCCTTTCAGAAGGACTAGACGTATCTGTTTAAGAGAGGTTCCTGGTATTCCTGTAGGACACACCTATTCCGGCATTCGCACCAGACACTTGAGAAAGCGTATGTTAAAATGGAGGAGAGTTCAAGAAATGGCGATACACTTCTCATCAGGACCTCATCCTTGCAGGAAGGATATGAAACGTACCGGAGGGAGGTACCCGTTAAGGATACACCTATCCCGGTGACGGGAATAAAGGACAGGAAGGATGTGAAAGGAAAAGTTGAACGAATGACGATACAGCACTCATCAGGATCACATCCGGTAACGAAGGACTTTTTAGTAAAGGAATAAAGTGGTTTAGACGTACGAACGGTTAAACCCAACATCCTATAGGATGGATGTGCGGGAAAGGACGGGTCTCGAGAGCGAATAGCGATACAGCCAGCACCAGGATAACATCCAGTCCTGTAGGGTTCCGCAAGGCGGACACCTGGGAAGTCAGGGACTCGAAACCACGCAAGGTGAATATCCCAGTGCCAGGATACCATGCCCTGAAAAAAAGAAATACTCCTAAATAAACCAAGGCTTTACTTATTCCTGATACAACGACAATCAGGATCACATCCGTTACAGGACGTTTTCTCTAGCAATGGAGTAATACTAAATTGTTCGTTGGTTGCTATTTTACTCCGTCCATACTCAAAACAGCTTCTAGGTATCCAGGGAGAATTGGGTACGTATTAAAAAAAAAAAACGATCAACCGTCCTATTTCGTAACGGGCTGTTCACGAAGATAAATATGTTGCCACGAGTGTTCGTGGTTTCATAAATCAACGAACACGCTACGTACAGCTGTGACGTATGACGAAAAACAGGAGACCAAACTGGCCTGCACGACTGGTTCCATTCGAGGCAGCATCAAGATATGAAAAAAATGAAAAGTGATATCCGCGCGAGCAGGAGACCAGAGTCAGCATGGAGTTTATACACCAGGGAAAAACTGCTGGCATTTGCCTGCGTCTACCTTCCTTTGGCCGTGTCCCAAAAGTCCTCACCATCCTCGGTAACCCGTGAAATCTTCAATGACGTCACACCAAAACAGTTTCCTCTCAGAAGGATGGTGGAGTAGAGTTTCCACAGCAGTCTATACGAACGCAGTGTAAGGAAGCTTAGGAATGTAGAAGGTCCAGAGGGAGAAATGGCGGCTCTATTAAATCTGTGCACCGGTAAAATAAAGCATAAAAGGATCAATATGGGAGTGGCAAGGATCGCCGTTTCCCCCTCAGCGTATTGGCGATATCAAGTCTGCGGTTAGAGCTCCCCAGGACTCCCCACTACTCGTAGTCGCTCTCATACTTTACCCCCATTGTAAATACCGGCGCGACGTAATGCCCCTGCAATTAGTTTCGCTCCATTGAGTTCTAAATGCGGAGACTTGGTCATCAGGAATGCAGACACTCCGAGGAGGATCGGAGGATCCTTGGTGTAGGGACATAGAATCGTGTTGCATCCTTGCGGATTAGTCCTGCTACCCTGGCCCTTGTCGCCGGCTTTCTTATTAATATGCTAATTTTACTTGGTGGGAGCTAGCTACGAATTGTACCTACTTGCTCCTGGTTATAAATATGGTACTGAACGAATGCTAGAATATTGATGCCTGTGTGATTGCGGTCACGTGTAATACGATACAGCTGAGACCAGGAAACTATACAGCTATATACAGTAGTTTCTATCCCGTGGGAAACCTTTCTTCAGGAGTCCTGGACGCCACCAGTAGAATCCATCCTGATCCCTTTGTACCGATACATATTTCTGTCAGAATACGAGCCAACAAAATTTCAAGGACAATTGTAAAACCTCCAATCGAGTATCTACTGTAACAGTCGTGTAATGTATAAAAACCCAGTGATCAAGCTGTGTCGTCTCCAAGGTTCCTGAATCCTTATGGTGTCCTCCCATGTACTCGTTGCACCATAGTAAGATCCCTCATGAGTGCCTAATCGTCCGCCCTTCGTTAATCCCCTAGAGGGTGAAAGATTAAACGCTTCAGTGAGTTTGAAAGAAACGAGAACGTGAAGACGAACAGGAGAATATAAGGGGCTACCTTGAAAGCATCAGGTTGGCCGAAAGCAAGGTCGATCGGTCCATGGTACCGAAGATTGTTTCAGCTTCCTTGGATTTCTCTCTGGTACATCCATTCGTCCATTTGTCCACCGTCCATCGTTTGGCAGCCATTTGATACCAAACTAAGAGGAACTCCTACCAGGAGAATATGTAAGGCCTTAACATTTTTCTTGCTGGATGAAACGCCGCTGCGACGTTTCACCGTGGCCATATACCTTTATGAGTCGGTCATGCTCGAGCAGGTTTCAAACAGGATTCAGCCTGTCCTACAAGGGTATCATAACCTCCTGGAGAGCATCCACGGCTCATGGAAGCCCTTTGCGTCGTCCCCAGTTGAGTGTGTTGCTGACAGGAATCTTGGCGTCTTGAGATACGTAACACGTACCGTAGAAGAAACAGAGTCCCGGCCTACAACGATTAGGAATTTATAAGAAAAACCCCATAGGCCATACTTCACCATCTGTACACACCATGGCTTTCGTTGTTGGAAGGGCCATCGCGACATAACCTCACAAAATTGTCATCCGTTGTGAAGAAACGGAACGACGCACTTAATATATCAGGAATATATAATATCACCAAACTAGATGTACCTGCAGGTTATGGGACCTTCTCAAAATTCTATGGGATTTCACGTGGATGCAAAATGTCTCACTAAAAACGATCGCCATTCGATGACTCTTGAAATATTTGGCCTCACATGATTAGGAGAGCATGGCGGCGTAGGGCGCAGTCTCGCGGGCTTTCGTAGCAACTACAACAGCTGCTGACTGCTGCAGGGATAAGGGCCGATGTGCATGGTTACCGTAGAAGGAGTCTATAGAATACAGAGAGTATACGAAGTACTCCAGAGATCGTATAGCGCAAGAATTTCAGAAACAACATGAAAGAAAGATGGACGGTTTCTTTGGGAATGGAGAAATTATCGAGGAAACGGAGAACTTATATTTTACCATTCATCGTGAGACCCATTCGCATGTAAACTGGAATCAACCTGGAACAACATCGTCGCTAAAGGACCAAAAGCAGTGAACGGATAAACAACTTTATAGGGAGAGCAGAAGGCGTTAGAAGGTAACTTATGGGGAACTCCTCGTGAGCCCCGTAGAGGTTCTTTAACCTAACCTAACTTATCTGCATACCTTGCCTCTAGTAATTCGTACAAGGAACGAGGAGTGACTCCAGGCTCAATTTTTCATGCTAAACGGATCTGTATGCTTTTATGTAATTACGCACACGATTATTAGTTATCATGAAGATTTCGACAAAAAATTATTATTTGCTTCGGACCATTCAAGTCATTCGGCACTCGTACTCTCGTACGTCTGTACTTCGAACAGACGCTCCTTACGACATTGCAAATCTCTATCTTGTAATTAACGACAACAATATCAACATTGAAAGTTCGCACACATCCGTGTTATTGTTTTCATTTTACTTGCTTATTTTTTTTGCTTTTGTCTTTTTATTTCGATAATTTCGCCTAATGCGTCACTAGCTCGTGTCCGATATGTATATACATACCTTACAATCGTAGGTCTCGGTAAATATTGATATACAGGATGTTCCTAAAGTCCAATACAATTTTTTTAGTACGTCGAGGTAATTAACACTAAGTTTTAATTAAAGTAGGCTATTAAGCTCATACAATTTTGTCTATAAAATTTTTTCATGTAAGACCTTGTGCTTAAGCTATTTGACAATTTTGATTTAAATGCTTCACCCTGTATATATATGAGAGTTTGACGCAAATCTTTACGGATAAGAAGATTTTTAGCAAAAAGCGTCATTGCGTGTTACTAGTAGGTAGTATATTAAACGACCAGTATTATTCTATACAGATCTGGGTATCAGTCCAAAGTCCAATCACACATGACGATTATACGTGACCTGGAAAACTGCAGGCCACCTATCAAAATGTAACATCTGAAATGAGGGATAAATCGTTTTATCAATTTAACCGGTCACCTACGTCCACACGTCCTACTCGATGAGGATGAGCAAAGTCCAGAATGACTGGCCGTGACCTTCGATCTTCGGTTCATGGAAAGCACACTAGTAAAACGATTAAGAAATTGAAATACAGAGAAGCCGAATGCTAATGAGTTGGCATTATTTTTTGTTGAATTATTATAATTCGATTTTTTAATTATACATTTTTGAACTTTTTCATTATTTACTTTTTTATTACACAAATATACCGATTAAAGCATTCAAACTGCTGTTTTGCATGACCAGAATGATTTAGGTGTTGATTATATTTCTGAGGTAATCATAGAACTCAATCGGGTAAATGTGAAAAAAAAATGATTAATTATAAACTAAATAGTTTTATCGTAAAAAGATTCGAATTGATTTTCGCTACTATGACCTTTCTGGCGTGATCGTTTCATCGAGGTCTGGTGAGCATTGTTATGGTCCCTAGAAGTCAATGGTACTTGGGCGCGAGACAACAGGCACGATCCTGGAGATAGGAAGGGAGGCCCACTAGCTGACAGGACTCCAGAGAGGCGAGAAAGTTCTTGCTCGCAGTCCACGTTATACAGCTGCGTTATGGTAGCTTCGCTGAAACCTGCAAAATCAATCATAATTTCCAGTACAACGAAATTGTTTGTCAAACAGGGATCTAGTTAGCTAGCCTGAAATATATACAAATGTATATTTTAATTATTTGGTTAAATTTATTGTAATACAAAATTTCCTTGAAAAGTTCCTTACAGGCAGTTTTAAGGTATCCAGACGAGTTTACGTGGGCGGCTGAGTGACCCTTCTGCATGATACGTCACGTCCTTTTTCTTCTTGGTAAGAAAAGTAGGAAATCAACGGGAAGAATCTATTCTTCTTTAATTTGAACTTCTGGCTAGTCGCCATCGCTGTCGACGGCCTGGCAACTTGTATATTTTGTGCTAAGGTGTTACTATACTTATGAAACAAGAGAGCGCATACCCTTGCTTGGAGAGAAAGGTAGAAAAATATCGACACGACTGGTTATTTATCTCGATTTTTGAAATTGCGAGTGAAATTATGGAAGATGTAGGCGGTCCAATATGCTGCCCTCTATGACACCATTGCTTTGCTTCGTGGAAAATTAATGTTTATCATTGACAGGACTGATATTATGTTATTATTGATAGGATGAACAGACCGAATTTTTCAGTGTTGATATGATTCGTGTATTGATATATGCGTGTGGTAATTATCTTATGCCAGTATGGAATTGTTTTAACTAATATTTTGTTGCACTCGATAATAAGGTATTGTTGCTTTTGTAGATTCACAAGTATGGTTATGTTTCTTAAAGATCTGCTTTTATATACGTTTTTAATTCTGGTGTAGTTTTATTATTTTTACTCTTAGTTTCCTGAGATGTTTGGTTTATTGAACGTGTTAGTGGAATACTTGTTGCATTATCGTAGCAATTTTCGGATACGTTCATCTATATTAATTTAACCTTTGATTATTGTAAAAATATCCACAGGGAGAAAGGGTCACTTTTGATTTCAAGGAATTTCAGTGGATTTGTAATTGTGAGGTCGTTAGAAAAATAAAATAGAAATGTTTTAAAATATTATTTATAAAATAGAGATATTTATGAATATATAATCGAAATTAGACAATTTTTGCTTTATTACTAATTTTATAATATAAGTATGGGTTAGCATTGTTGGGATTCCATTTCCGACAACGTATCACATTTTTACTTCACTGTCTCCATCTAATATTTATAGAATTGTTAACTCATGCTGTTGCCGATAAAGTAGATTGAAACATTGGAAACCCGATTGAAAGCTTATCTATGTTCATTTTTGGTTTGGACGTTGTGCCGCCTTTTCATTTTGTAATTTGATTGTAACGTACGAAAGGTTGTGATACAACCGATGATTAGTGAATTTTTCTAATTGATAAGTTTATCTGATAACGCAAAGTAAGTTGGATTTCGTATTGTTTTGATACCTCATGTAATAAGAGATTTTAGAATATGATTTTTATATGTAGATCCGCCTGTATACACTTCTCGCATAACCTTAAAAGATTATAACGCTCCAGAAACAATAGGTTTGTTCTCGTTAGCTATACTCTCTGCACTTTTCTAAAAGTGTAAGTTTTTATTGGATAATATTTTTAAGTAACCAATGAGAACTTGCCCTTTTTCAAAGGTGCAGAAAGTGTAGGTAACGAGAACAAATCTATTGGAGTATGTTTATTTGAAAAGTTTTAGAGTATAATTATTTATTGGAATTATATGTTTATTTTTCTTTATAAAGATGGAACCTATGGCTTTGGGATCACCTGTAGGCAGTCCAGCCCAGACACCAGGAAGTCCTGGAACTAATTCTGCATATTTACCTAGTTTTCTTCTTGGAGATGTTCATTCGGTATGTATAGATATACTAAGTTTTTAAAATTTTTGATTGTGTTGATATCAATGCTTTACTTTTATTATAGAATACAAGAGTAAGTAATGATTCATCAAGGTTGTTAAACACTGGTGGGTCAGGTATGACGTCTCCTGTATCACACTATGGTACCCCTGAATTCCGTACAAATAGACAAAAGTCTATGTTTGGAAACGTTACAAGTCCTTCGGAAGGCCAAATAGGAACAGAAGGTCATGCTGGTGGTCCTCCTACAAGAGGCCTATTTGATACTCTGGAGATTACACAACAAATTGGGTCACCTACACCCTTGAATAACCAAAGTATTATCAGCAATCAATCAAGATTACTAGGAAATAATGTTGGAAGCAACTCGTTCTTTTTGGATACGTCTACAAATGCTACATCACCTGAATCCCAAGGCCTCTCTCAGTGGGTGACAGTCTTTGGGTTTCCACCGAGTGCAATCAATGCAGTGTTCTCTCATATATCCAGCAGAGTACGTGTAGTAGACAAGCATGCTCCACCCCATACTCAAAGCAATTGGATTCATATAAAATGCGCTTCGGAGCAAGAGGCTCAGAGAGCACTTTCGTGCAATGGAAATATTGTTACTGGATCTATAATGATCGGTGTGATCCCATGTACTGATGAAGGCGTTTTACTAGTATCTGATAAGGAAAACCACTCTAAATTGAATGGAAGTATGAGACTATTCCCATCTCCTGGTAGAATACATCAAGGACAATCTGATTCCATCGTACCGCGTACACCCATTAGATTACAAAACGCTCGTCCACTTGCTTCAGGATATAATCAACACCTAAGTCCTCAGTCAGTTAAGTCACCAGAAAATATTCCACAAAGATCCACAGGATTGGTATCTAAAGCAATGGAGTATGTATTTGGTTGGTGAAACTAGTATAATTCCTTTTCATAATATCCTTGATGAAACAGTTTTTCACAAGTGCTAAACGTGAATAATTTTGTACAGTCGTTTTTTCTTCTAGAAATCATTTTGCCTTTGCCACTCTTGTATATCGTACTGAATGAATAATCTTTTTACTTTTAATTTTTAACCTATAAACTCGCCTTATTAACATTATGATCATTTTTCAATAAATTCGGACTCACTATCAGCAAAAGTTTACACTCTCTGATTTATTCTATACAAGAAAAATTTTAGGAATACAGTATTGACAGGACTATAAAAACTTATAAATCTTTATATTTTATTATAATGATCACGCGTACTGAGTTTCCTAAATTCAGCTATGCATTGAGCACAGAATTAGTCCCCAAGAACACATTTTAATTAGCCCTTGATTCTCAATCAAATTGGTTTCCGCTACAATAATAGAGTAATCATAGTATTCAATGCAGTGCTTAGTCTTTATTAACAAATCAAGTCAAAGCCATGAGATTGTAGATATTCTTTGTGTTAAAAATAAACGACTAATGTCAATCGTATATATTTCTTCAAAATCAATCACGTACTTTTACTGTCCTTATACAAGATTGCAATTTTCTACTGGACATTAATAATATAATAAAATCACAAATATTTCTGATAACCTAACGTATAAATAAGATTCTGATATTTCTTTTTCTCTTACACACATTAAATTACTTAGGAGTCTCAATGGTGGCACTTCCTAAATCTGTCATTTTCGGATACTTCACTTTTTTCTTGTCCAATTCATCCTGTGCCCAAAGTATCATTTTCAAAAGATTATTCAGCCTTGGACTAGTCGATTCTCTGTATTCCATCTTCAATATGGCTGCATTCAACTCACTGGCTATCTGGAATGTATAAAAAAGATAATTGATAAGAGAGACGATAATGGTATATTTGTAATTTGTAATATCTTTATATTTTCTAAAGAATATTTACCTTTTGTCTATGTGTAGGATGTAATAAATCACTAAAGGGACTTTTGTGAGGTTCATCGAATGCTAGTAAAGCAAGGGTACGCTCCAATTCACTCAAAATGTTATCATCAGATTCACCAGCTTCACTTAATTGGTTCTGAGCAAATTGCAGTGCTTCTTCAATACGGCCAGTACGTATAAGTTCAATCAAATGCAACTGCTGCAGATGAAAATAAAGATATCTGTCATTATCCAATAACTCTGGATGCAGTTGGTTAACTAGATCTGTAGCTTCTTGAATTCGACCATTTTGGATAGCATCACGAATTCGAATTCGATCATCCAAAGAATTGAGTTCCACGGTAGGACCAACTCCAGACTCCTGTTGGAACTTCTCTGCAGCTTCTTTAAACCCTTCTATACAAGAATAAGATGAAAAATCAATCAGATAAACTATGAAACACACCATGAAATCCATATACAGAAAAAATCTTACCAGTGACCAAGTAATTCATAATTAGATTGTTCATAGAAACTCGCTGAATATGGGAGCCCTCCTCTAGTTTTGCGACCCACTCATCTTTTGAAACACTATCTTGTTTTTCTGAGAAACTCATTATGCCTACGGATTAAAGCGGTGCTGTAATTATAATGCAGAATACTGCAATTAAAGAAGAACAAGATTTCCTGTTAAACAACCACTATTCCATTGCACCATTAATACTAGAGTATATGTCACATGTATGGAAATGAATTTGTCACGATGACTTTCCAGATGAATTTTCATCTTACCAAAAAAGCAGGGGCTTGCGTCTACGAAAAGTTTCAACCCTTAGGGGTGATTTAAAGTTTCTAGCAGCAGATTTATTTCCGAGCAACGTCAAAGCGCAGAAATGTCATAAACAAAGCTGTCTGCCCGTGTTTTTAATAGCCATGTTCAGAAGCACAGAAAATTCTAACTAAGATGGGTAGATTGAGAGACAATATTTAGAGGGAAATCTGCTCCTTCATTTTATAAATTTGATCTATGATTTATAGTAAAACAAACCAGCTCATATGAAAATATTTACTAATCTGTAAAATAATCAATAATTATTATCTTATAATATAATATTAAACCGATTGCTTAATGCTGACCATTTTATTCTGTAGATTTATTTTTTTCAATTTCAAATATGGATTAGCCTTTAGAATTAATTTTTGTAATATACCAATGTATGCGAACCTGGCTATAATTGAGGATTTTCCTTTGGCTATACTTTTGAAGCATGTTGTATATATATATAGTCTGTGCACTTCTTAGCTCTCTAGAGCACAAAACCAAAAAGGATCAAGAAGAAGAAGTATACATGTGCGTAGGAGTGTGTAGTCAGCATAAGGAAGCATTTTGTCGCTATAATCCAAACTAGCCTAAAGCCCCAAAGTGAGTGCAGTGCATAAACATGGCGGATCCATTGAGTTTGCTCCGACAATATAATGTCAATAAAAAAGAGATAATTGAACGAGAAAATCAAATAATTTTTGGTGAATTTTCATGGCCGAAGAATGTAAAGACCAACTATTTGACATATGGGTAAGTAGCTTAACTATTATTTTTAGTGTGCACGAAACACTCCTTCAATCTGGCTGACTTGTTATTGCATTCTTCATCGTTTCTTTGCTTGACGCTTTTTAATTATTTTTTAAATGTTTTTTTTTAATTGGATAACTGTAAATGCCCAGTATCAAATTTGTGGGAATATTTATTTATTGGGATACTATGTTCTCATGCACATGTTTGGCTAAAGTCAAAGTAAATATAAACATTGTGGTAGACATGCATTTGTCTTATTTGGTTTAAGCTTAATTAATAGGTACTGTCACATGCTTCTTTATTTAGTAGCTTAGTAAAGTAAGTCTAGAATGAACAAGATACTAAATAATATTGTGATTCTTTTTTCTTTGCAGATCTGGAAAGGAGGGTACACCGAAAGAATATTATACCCTTGAGTGCCTATTATTTCTGCTAAAACATGTCCAGCTTACACATCCAGTATATGTTCGGCAAGCAGCTGCTGAAAACATTCCTGTGGTACGGAGACCCGACAGGAAAGATCTGTTGGCTTATCTCAATGGAGAAACAGCCACATCAGCCGCCATAGATAAATCAGCACCTCTTGAAATTCCCACTCAAGTGAAACGTACAGCAGAGGATGGGCTGGAAAGTGGATCTTCAAAGAAACCTCGCTTTGAGGAAACACACGTGCAAAAAGTTAAAGAACAGCTTGCAGCTAGATTGGATGCTCCAAAGGAAGCCTCTGTCACTGTGGATAATATTAAGTCTCTTTCTGAAGCTATGTCAGTCGAAAAAATTGCTGCTATAAAGGCAAAGCGATTAGCGAAAAAACGTACAACAATCAAAGAGAATGATGACATTGGCATGGGATCTGATCTACGTGTTATCCTGGACATGGACGTTGACGACACAAAGGACATTGTCTCCAGGGAAAGACAGTGGAGAACAAGAGCAACTATTCTTCAAAGCAGTGGAAAGGTTTTTGCAAAGAATATTTTTGCAATATTACAAAGTATAAAGGCCCGGGAAGAGGGACGACAGAAAGGGCCTGTGGCTCCAACACCAATGGTTACACCCAGATCAACACCAATGAGGCCTTTACCACAACCCTCTGTATACAATCGATACGATCAGGAAAGATTCAATCGACAAAAGGAAGAAACAGAAGGATTCAAGATTGACACCATGGGTACTTATCACGGTATGACCTTAAAATCCGTGACAGAGGGCACCAATCCAGCCGTACGAAAACCGCCAAGCAATCCATCCTCGGCTCCATCTTCTGGGTTGTTACCAACCTCAGCAGCTAAACTAACACCACAGCAAGCAGCTCAGAATAAACGACCAAGCAGAACGCCTATTATTATAATCCCAAGTGCCAATACATCTTTGATCACTATGTACAATGCAAAAGACATTCTCCAGGATCTCAAGTACTTTAGTAACGAGGAGAAGCGAGCCCAAGGTTGCAAGAAAGAGAACGAAGTCCTTCTACAACGACGTAAAGACGGCGGACTTACAGTACCCTATCGTGTCGTTGATAATCCACAAAAATTAACAAATGCTGATTGGGAACGAGTGGTTGCAGTATTTGTTATGGGTCCTGCCTGGCAATTCAAGGGATGGCCTTTTGATGGAAATCCTGTTGAGATCTTTTCAAAAAGTATGCATCATTCAAAAACTTTACATCGAAGAATCTAACATGCATTCACTCAACTTATAAAGCAATGGTTTCTTTCAGTTTCTGCTTTTCATTTAAAATACGATGAAATGAAATTGGATGGTAATGTAGCCAGATGGGCTGTCACAGTTATCGAATTGAGCAGAACAAAAAGGCACTTGGATAGAGCAGCACTTATGGTCTTTTGGGAACACTTAGATAAGTATGTATCGAATTTTTCTAATTTCCTTTATATATAATTTACCGATTCTGTATTCACTAACTGATTACGTATATCATTACAGGCACATGATCAAGAACAAGCCACATCTTCGATTTTAATTGCAAAATCATTGCAAGTAGAAGAGTAACGGGAATTTTTTTCGGACACATGCAAATTTCCGATTTTTTTTTCTTTTTTCCCCCTTTATACGCTGTACATACCTTTAAAAGAGTATATCGTCAATCCTGTACATATACCTATTAAAAAAAAAACCAAATACACAAACGTACCATGTACGCCCATAAGAGAAAGTATTAAAATTTTGTTTACTGTAACACAGAAATGAAATCTTCTCTTAATTATCGTATCCCTTATACAAATAAAATAGGAGCTCACTCTCATCCATCTAGAAACCATCTTCATACTTTTAGAAAGTAAAAGAAGAAGATTAAAAAGGAAGACAAATTTCGCGGCCCAATACTGTAGAATCTGTGCAAACGGATCTGGTTTCCTAGGGCGGTGTTAAATTTCATGTATGCTTAGTAATTCAAAGCACAACGCTGCATCACCGCCAGGAACATCCCCAGGGAACAGAGACCTCCTATTTTCTCTTCTCAGCAACTAAAGCCAAAGTAAACCGCCCCAAGCATCAATCGCTCGATACGGGTTATTGATTCTGTTTGTACGACAAATCGAATCTCTCTAACTCAATTACTGTCGCTCTATTACTCCAGCAAATATGGCAAACAGGACGCGAACGTTTTTCCTGAAACATCGGTAGAATTTTAATAAGTTATATGTATTTGCCTTAGCTACCTATATCGTTGGTGTTTATTAGATAACAGGGATAGCTAACTCAAATGGAGAAAGGTTATTCATATCAATTAAAAATGAAAGATGTTGAACGAATATGAATAATTTATTAATACAACTAGGAGTGTGATACGTTATAAGCTTTTCTTTGGCATCTTTCTAATCTACCACAGCATAAGATATTATATTATATGAATACCTAATTGAAGGATAACTTAGACAAATTTATAGCACTGTGTACAGTTTGGCTGTACGCAGGGAATCCCCGGTATGATGGGTGGTAGATGAAGTAGTCCTGATCTATGAGGATGATCTATAATCTGATTGCAAACGTGTTCACGCAATTGTTGAACATTGGAATTAAAATAATTGTTATATTGTACGTTAAAAGCAACACTATCCGGATCGTGTCCTGTAGCTTTACCGAAGGAAAAACTGTTACATCCAGTTCCGGGTTCTCCCAGACTCTTTGGTTCAGGAACCAGAAGACAATAACCATCGCCATAAAGATTTCGTGACAAATTGGAGTAGATTGGTGGTAGTGGAAACAGGCTTGAAACCTCAGGAGTCGTAGTTTCCGGTTTACTGGCCGGTGGACGAAAAGCGGATGTGGGACCACCTAGACCGCTTTGACTAGCGAAGTATTCGATGGCCTTGAGCAAATCCTGACCACATCTCTGCAGCACGAGTTGCAGTACAGACAGTTTGGTGCTTGGGAATAAACGCGCTAGGGTTTCTATGGAGGTTTGAGAGACTGTTGGTTCCTTGGTGCAGTCACCACTGGTTTTATTAATATTGAAGAGAAGGTTCTTATATTTTCCGGTAGACGTCTCTTCGGTATTCTATTAAATAAATACTCATTATTAAAAACAGTCTCACATCCTGTAACTCAATATTCATATTCCAGATCATATACCTGACTCTCCTGTGCTGCATTGGACAAGGTAGACTCCTTCACCGGCAACTTGTCCTTAGACTCCCTGGGGCAGGTGTCTTCACGTTCTTCGGACGCTACAGTCAGGATGCCAACGGTACCGGAAGTCTCCTCGCTGCCCCGAAGAAGAGAGTTCGGTTCCGTGACAGCCATACCAAAAATTTTACCTGGAGGAAGTCGTGTTAGTTTCTGACCTGTAGCTACCTTTGCCATACTCAGGGCGATGGCGTCTTCGGCTGCCTGCTGTCTCTTCAGGGCCACCTTAAAGCAGTATAAAATGCTAAAAAATAGTAATGAAAATTGGTAACACGATTGATCCTAGTGTTTTTTATATCTGATTTACAAATGGATTCGTCCCCAGCTGATACTGCATATGTGTTTTCTTAGCATAGAGCTCCCCAACGTCAATAAAGATACATAGCAGCACATTTGGGCTCTGTTATTACAAGATGGACCACCCACGACATTGTCTCGACCGCCTACAGGATCTCATTATGGATCACGCCAAAAATACATCCAATCGACAAGAAGCTCATCATTCCTCGTACAAATAGTATACGCCAGGACGATTGCCCAGAAAATGATATACGCCTCTAGCTTCAAAACGAAATTGAAGCTTAGCTGAATTTCCAAAGCGTTTAGTTAGATCCTTTATTTATCAGCTTCTGAGCACATCGTACACAAGTGGTTACATCAAACAGATTGAAAGCTACGATGTAGACAGAGGATCGAGTGTCATAATGCTTATGCAAACAGAAATGAAATGCTACACCGCGCTTAATGGATTTAACTCTCGAGGAGAATCGACGTAGCAGAAGCAAACGAGTATAGAAGCAGATATATCAATATATAGTATCCCTAAGTTGTGTAGATATATGCATATATAAGAGACGTTTATTTTTCGCATCTGAAATTATTATTGGTAACTTGGCTTCATTTTCTACCTAATAACCTCATAATCGCATCGTTGAAGTAATATTCAATTTTTAGGAGGTAAACAAAAAATGTTTTAAACCTTCTTTTACCTGGGCAGCCATTACTCTCTGTCTTTCTGCAATCAGGGAACACTTAGGACAAAGACACTCTCTGTAACGACACTCTCTCTTGTGACCACGAAGCCATGAGATCAGACCATGATTTCTGCAACGCGCACACTTTGGTCTTCTTTGCTTTCCCTCAGCATCTCGATCCTCTTGATCAGATTTCTTTGACTTTCCACGTAGCATGATTAAGTATTGTTTTCAATTTATTTGCACAGTTTATGCTTTATCTCTGTTATTTCTTAAATACACTTCTCTGCCAGGAATCAATGTATTTGTCCCAAAAATATTTTCACCGGTCGCATAGTGGCTTGCGTGATGGTACCACTTTCACGGGAACAAGAATCATCACTCTGTATATAAAAAATAAAAGGGTAATATACCTAGTTTTCTTGATTAGATATAAGAAACTTAAAAAAATTCCTTTCACTTTTTTATTTGTAAGAGCGTGGCCACGGAATGCAGCAATAATTACTTGTATCCCTTAATCAACTGTATCCTTGTGTTCTGTTGGAGATTTTTCTTTTTTTAAAAGACACAAAAAAGAAGATCCTCCAAATTGCACTGTCTCATGGCTAATCAAAGACTGAAGCGTTTTCTGCCTGTAAGCCAGTCATTTTCGGTAACAGCCTCGAGATTTTCTTTCACGTACACGTTCTCCGATTGGCTGTGATACACGTAGTCGGTGTCAGGGAACGTTGGTAGACGTTAACCAACGTTATCCCGACATCCCTCCGGAGGGGGTCAAAGGTAAACAGCAGCCGGACCACCCTTTTTCCTCGATTGGTTCCAGCCTGTTTGCTCTCTTCGCCACTCCTACTGGGCCATGCTAAAAAAAAGTTCTTGCAAAACAATACGTACACCAGCAGTTTAAAAAAAGAGGGTTAGAAATTATCATAAAAATAATCAGGTTACGTAACTCATGAGTATATAAAAAAAAATGAGGGATACAAGGATTATTCTGAAGGAATACAGAGTGATTAAGAAAAAGATAACCGCTGCCAAGAATCAAGATCGTGTAATTCGTAGATACGAGTACAGATTTCAATTAGCCAGTAACAATCGAATAAATAATGAAATCCTCAGGATACAATAAGACCAGCGTTAATCCGATCCTTATATATCGCATTAAATTTATAATATTAAAATTCTGTGCGTGCCGATCGATCTACGCACTCCTGGTAACGTGCAGGACAGGGTACATTTGTTTTTGATATGTCATTCCGTTGTTCTGAGTTTTAACGTGAACGCGTGCATACACCAAGCACAAGAAATGCAGATATAAATATATATGTATATAATATAATACAAATATGCCGGAATACAGATTATCAACATTCACTGAAAACAAGAAACGCAATATTTTGTTCTTACAATGGTTAATAAGTAAGCGCGCGAAGTTTTAAAATATTCAAACGTGTGCGCATGCGCTCTAGTGTCTACCCGCGATCACGCTGTTGTTTTATGTATCGCATTTATAATAAAAAGCATAGTCATCAGCGTGACCTTTCCGAATTTTTGTCTCGCTCAACCGAAACGTACTAAGAAAAAAAATGTCAAAGACAAAGATCGCAATGCGATCGATCGATCGCTCGTTCGATTAATCGATTTATGAAATCCGTAAAATCAGGCACAGCGAGACAACTAAGCTCGCAATAATTCATTCTCATTGTTTATGTATATATAAATGATTATAATAATATGATATGCTTTAGAGGCATGTTTCCTGCACGTAACGGACGATATGTACATGATCGCTTAATTAAATAGCGATCAAGATCGAACCGACACGACTGATTATAATTGAAAATCACCTTAAAAATTAATGTGATATTATCGATTCTTCTGGATATGCAAAATTTTCGCGCGAAAAGGATATGTTTGTGCGCCTGACGGTATTTAGTCTGATCAAGACAGCCATCTTGGAGACACCTAGAGACCTTGAGGATCCTCAGACATCATTACAGCGTTGACCCGTGACATTGAATATCAGAAGGATCCACGTAGACGTCTCCTCAACCCGGGAATAGGCGCGTAAGGTGTCTGACATACGAACTCATTGCTTTTCAAATGGAGAACAAAATCACGCGACCATTTCCGAGTTAATTGAAAATCGCCATCAACCTGCGTCACGAGCGTGACTTTAAATTTCCCCAAGTGATATAATAAAAACTGTATACTCGATGTTTATCGATATATATCGGCGACAGATAAAAACGTTACAAATAAACACAAAGCACGCTTCGTTCACTGAGTGCACGAATAACCGAGTGCAAGGCATTCGTGAATCAATCAATTAATTAATTAATACATAAAAAATAGCTTGCGTATTCTTTGCATTGATACGTGTACGCGTACATATAATATAAACAGCCCAACATGAATGCGAGTGCATGCGCGGGCACGTCACATATTTAAATCGTAAAACGTATTGACAATGAGAATTCGCACGTAGCGACACTCGTCAAAATGGCATCCGCAAGTGAATCGCAAAAGAAAAATTGTCGCAGCAATATTACAAATATCCATGGACAATATTCCCGTGTTATTACATTCGCGATCAGAATAAAACGTAAATATGAAATTACATGACATCTATTATACAGAGAGTCGTGTAAATACGTGTAAGTACGTGTAAAATATAGAGTAAATTTGCAAAAGTATTAGAGCTCACGGCGCATGCGCAGTTACAAAAAGTGTAATCACCATGTTACGCTAAAGTCGAAAGAAACGAATAGAGAGGTTAACATTTCAATTATAATATTAGGTAACGCGTGCCTAACACATTTCACTTCGCACGTTTTACCTTATTCTCCAATTGGCCCCGAAAATCAGAACATATCGTTTATGTTGTTTCCTCGTATCTCCCCTTCATTTTTTTCTTTTCGATCGCACTTAATTTTTATCCGTCACCCCCCCTCCCTCTACCGCGCCACTGCTCTCTTACCGAGACCTACGTACGCATCTCTTTATTCGCCTCGCACGATGCGGAATATAAGATATGTATTACTCGTTCGATTCTAACAATTAATTCGTCTAGCAATCGTAATATTGATAGGATTAATATTTTGCTTGCTGCCGATAATTACATGTACCATCGGCATGCACTACTTTAGTAGTAGTAGTAGAGTAGTAGCAGCAGTATTAGTAGTTGGTAGTAATAATAATAGTATTAATTAATGATAATAATAGTATTATTTAGCATAGTAATACGAATCGTCGAAAAAATTCGTGACTTGTGTGACAGCTTTGTTGATCATAGAAAACTTTAACCAGCGAGATACTTCGTATGTTGAGAGAAAGATATATATTATTCTCATGATTCAGTATCTCTGCAAAACCGTTTATGCTTGTGTGTACGAATGTACTCGGTCAGGCAATTAATATTATACATTGATATCGGTAGACATAATGCGATTGTAATAAATGAAAACTTAAAAAATCTCCGTAACTGCAAATACTCGAGCATAATCGTACGATGCCGTCCGCCATCTTGTCACTTTGATCATTTGGTCACGTGATCGACGACAGATGTTGCGCTCCTACATTTCTCATATTTAAATTGCCAGAGTCGTACTAAGGACAAAATATTCCTTGTGACATGAATAGGGCGCCTCTTTTTTTACTTTGTCGTTCCTTAAGTTCTTGCTGATCTAGTTTATTCGTCTAATTGCATTTCTTTTTATCCCAACGAGGATGACAACGGTAACGACATAACCCTCTAAGAGTGTCATTATATATAGTATATATATATATATATAATGTCGTACTAGTGTCATTATGTATATAGAATTCGAGTACGTACTCGAATATGTACGCAACCTTCTAAAAGACACCTGCAGCCTAAGGGCTTAACTCTATTGCGTTTTATGATAATTATAGCGCGTTTTATATACGGATCTATATAATATAATCGTGACTCTTTGTATTTCCCTTTTTCGTGACGATAATAAATACTAATAGCGTCATTACAAAACCTTACAACTACTCAACAAAAACCAATCTTGTAACAACTTTTACTTATTTATTTCTCGTTTGCTTGATCTCACGTGATTCTGTGACCATCCAATATCGCCTTATAAAGTCCCTTACATGGACGTCTTCTTTGTTTTTATATTGTTTCTTTTTTTATCGAATCTTTTAACAATTTGTCATTACGCGTGGCTGCTCGGAATATATATATATTCTTTTTCTTACGTATTTTCGTTGCGATTGCGCGCCATAATCTTTAACGCTTCCCGCCAACGTGTGCGTCTGCGCTTGCGCACAAGAGGGATTACACACGCGCATGCGCGCAATCCAAACCAAAGCAAAAATGATCGTATCCGTTTTAAGTACAAGCTCGATTTTAAGAAATAGGAAAGGACCAACTGCGATATGCAATACCTAACTATATATATGTATGTATATACGCGTAGTTTAGCATATATAAGTCGGAATCTCGAATAGGAATAATAATAATAATAAAACCTAGGTTCGATCCGCCGCAAGACTCGAGTCGCGCGTTGCATTATTCTTTAAAGCTCAACACATAGAACTGCGCAGTAAATCCCTCTCGCCTGTAAGCGCATCGTAAATTCCATGACTTCCAGGTACATCCATATAGATATATACATACAGTACATGGACGACGCAATGCGCGCGCGGTCGGTCGATCCTGCAGAATAAAACGAACAACAATTTATCAAGTAGAGAATATGTCGAGCGACCTACTGCATTTCAATCTGTAATATATTAATAATAATATAAGTATGGATTAATGGTTGCCTAACGAGCGAGGACGATGTTAATATATGGTCGAACTTCATGCTGCTTCGATTCCACGTTAATTTGGCTATACTCCTCGAGAAGATGATGATAGTTGATTCTGATTAAAATTCAAGAAGAAAAATATAAAAGACGACCTATATATATCTATAGTCTCTCGTCTCGTTAGTCGAACAATCACCTCGTCTATCGCTATAGGATGCACGAAGCACCAGCGAATTAATTACATAACGGCACATTTTTCCTTAAGGCTTATTGCGTTGTTGCTCTGCACCGGTTGCAGGGAGACCGAGCGATTCTTCTCCAGGGTGAGCAGGTCCCGGAAGAGTGCGTTCACGTTATGGTTTGTCTTTGCTGATGTCTCCAGGAATCCACAGCCCCAATTCGCGGCTTCAGCGGCACCTTCGCTCATTGTGACTTCGCGTACCACTGGACTCTCATCACACTTGTTGCCCACCTGTCGAATACGAAGAAGTCATTATAATCTAATTGATATGGATAATAATTTTTTTAGTACACAATTTTTTGTTATTTAATACATTTATCAAAGTGAACCACTGTCTTACCAGCATTATGGGGATCTGTGAGATGTCTTGTCCTTTGAGCTCTCTTATCACGGCCCATATTGGTCGCAGTTCTTCGAGGCTTTGCCGCGAGCAGACCGAATAGACCAGGATGAACGCGTGACCTTTAGTTATCGAAAGTCGCTGCATCGCAGGAAACTGATGGGACCCCGTTGTATCCGTAATTTGAAGCGTGCATATGTTTTTATTGCAGCTTATCACCTGGAAAACTCTTTAATGTCTTCTCTTTGTTCTCAGTTTCTCTCACACTCTCTCTTTCTCGCTTCATATTTCTTTCATCTCATTCATCATCATTCTTGCTCACTTAATTACACGCTCTCGGTCAGTCATACGTCTTTTCATAGCATTCGTACACGCGTCGGCTCACGTACACAGCGAGGGTCCCAAAAGTTTCTTCTTGAACCAGTGAAATTAAATGAAATTCATCTGTCTCGTGTTTAGATCTTTTGTCTTAAAAGAAGATGACAAATGGTCCAAATACGAGACAGAAATACCCTGTGGATGAGAATTGTCGTTTTAACCGGTGCACGCGGAATTTCACAGTAGGATGAAATCCGGGAGTACATACTGTCTATATACAGTTGACAGTCACTGCATCAAAAGATCTTACCAGTTACACTAAATCACGGCATACGATTATGCAGATCTCTTCTCTTCTTATGTTATTTTTTTACAGCCATAGGCGGCATATTGATTTTTAACAAGTACCACGAGTTTTTAATGCGTGCGCATTATATATAGTGAATTGCATGATGTTACCCGTGATGTAACATGCACATTGTTCTCATTCCATTTTATGTTTGTATCATACAGAAAGTCCCGACGTGCACCTGCTTCGCGACGCTTCGTATTTCAGATTGATCTTTGGATTTTTCAAGGCATGACCTCCTTGGAGGTTAATTGGCAAACGTACCTGTCTGTACGTATCCTCAATTGTCGGTATATAAGACTCGCGGAACGTTCCTTTCACGAAACGCAGGACGAGGGAACTTTTCCCAACACCACCCGCTCCAAAAACGACAACCCGATAGTCGTTACTCTGTTCAGGCATCCTCACATCTGGTGTCTCGACGATTCAAACCCCCGGCGTGCGGGGTCCCTGACGTTTAAGCCTTATGCAATGTCGAAATCGCAATTCCACATGCAAATCCTATAAGTATACAATGTGACTCCGATGAATTTTTCTCAAGACCTTTGACTTCCAAATCGTCAAGATTAATATAGTTATTTCATATGACTGATCCTGAGGAATTTCGGATATCGAGGTTGCTTTGTATAGTATCCTGTTCTGGGACACCTGTAGGAATTTCTTGTTATCAGTTACTCTTGTTCTCTTTAGATTCTTATTCTTTTGTTGCACTGATTACAGACGGGAGGCTCTCTGGCCCTTTTTGAATGTACCAACATGTATTCTTGTAATTGTAACCAAACTGATTGCAACCGGTTGGGAAACACCATAACGTATTGTCACTTACGTCACTGTTGGATACACGAGTGAACCAGGAACACTCATGGGAATAGCCAGATTGATTGACACTCTATACGATGCAGGTGTAAAATTTCCGTTTGATTTTTTTGGTCCAAAATTCAACTGATCTTATCGTTAAATCGCACCAGTGCCCAACTCTGAATTCTGCGAATGAAGATAAAGGAATGAAAGGTACAGTTGAGATCTTTGTTAATGAGAAACAAGGCAGAATTTCAAATGAACCAGGGAGGAAACCAAGCGGACCTAATTATCTACCGGATGCGATTACGGTGTTTTGTCGTAGCGCGAAGCACCGTCGTTGTGTCGTTAGAACGCGAATACCAGAATGGTTACTAACGTCGCTCAAACCACTAAGACTGCTAGAAACGTGCTTACTTATGTCTGAAAGCGCGGACACAATTTAATTGTTATGAATTACGCGTTACATAGTAGCCGGTTTACTGTTAGAGTTTTGTGACGTGAACTTTATTTCGTGCAAGAACCAAGCGTACACCCTCGACATCGGGGTTGATTGCCCGTGTGTAGGTACGTGCGCACTACGCCAAAAGTCCTGCGCGGAAAATCAATAGCGGCTTCGTGTATCGGTTACTGTATGTACATGGCGTATCAGTCTCACGCGCTTTCACCTACACGATGCTCTCCCTTTGTTCCGCTACTGTCCCCATCACTGTTCTGCATCCTTTCGAAGTGAATGATAGAGCATGGCCAATTGGACTAATATTATATTTTTTTTTATAACATTGCAATGTATTATTTTGTTTGATAATGTATTTTATAAAAACTTGGTAATCTGTACAGTCAGTTATATAATAAATACCTTAATATTTTTAAATTAAAAGAAAACTTAATAGTAATTTGGCTGTACTTTTTTTATGACTCTTTCAAGTTAGGATTTTTAATGACAACATCGCTGCCTTCATTCTCTATTATCTCGTAGCTCCACTTTCGAAAATTCCTGAAAAAAAATGTTGTTTACCTTCAGGTATGATAAACGAATTTATGTTTAAAGAATGGTGTAAGATAATGGTTTACCTGCACTCATGACCACATTTCTTCGAAGAACATTTAGGACATGCGAAATGACATCCCAAACAATCTTCTTGGAGGCAATCACAGAGATCTTGTCCTGTTTGCATAAAGCAACCTTTGTAATCATATAATAGATGCTTCCTGTTGCCTAGGTACGTTCTGCGCTGTAACTTTCTTTTTTCTCTTTCACTTTGCTCTGGATCAAAGTTCTTCAGGAACTTCTTTGCAACGTTGTCTACTGAGACTGATTTAGGGATTCTGTTGCTTTTCTGGAACAAGAAAATTTGGTCAAAAGTATACTTAACTCCAAACCAAATAATGGTATATATTCGATGCTTACTGGTTTTGACGGGTTTGGCTGAACATTGCTTGGTTGCGAAGTATCAGCCAAATTAGAAGACACTGCGGAAGACTCCATACTTTATTCACGCATAATTCCTTCTCTCATATTGGTTTACTGTATATTACTTTATTTGAATATCTAGTTTTTACTTTAATTAACCTTTCACATATCGATAAGAGGTTCAGCTAATGTTACAGTTCTACGTAACAATTTCTCTCTTGCAATACAAAAACGGTTCAGAGAAATTTATACAACCTATTTCACATGCTCTTTCTTTATAAACAATTAATTATATCGTTATCACTTTTAATGTACTCAGCCGATATTCACATCCACATGAAATTCTGATAGTAAACACAGCTTTGATATTTCACCGCTGTGATTAACGGTAAGAGTCCGGTCAACAGTGAGGCTTGTTAGTGATTGGCTTTGCCATATTATGGGCTCTTTCCGGAATAGAATGGTGTGTATGAATACGTGTATGGGAGAGATTCATATTGAGTATGGGTAGTGTTAAGCCCTGTACGGCGGGTTGCCTGTACTTGGCGCGAGACTCGACCGAGTCTCTTGATGGTAAAGATTGATAGTTTGAAAATCAGCGCGCAATGTCATGGTGGCGCCAAACAACCCCTTAATATGGCGTCCCTTCCGGGTGTTGGCCGGACTCTTACTAGAGGGACTCTAACCGATACGTCACACTCCTTCTGCTATTTTCTCCTGTGGCGCTGCTGTCGCCTTTAAAAAAATTAAATTATTATTTCACAAGATTTATCAAAAATTCTTATGTAACTTAGAAAATATATTCAATCTATATACGCTATATTATTTTAATGAATTTATTCAACTGGCGCTTGTTGCATTTCGTCATAAATAGACCTACGTTCTATTTTGGCGGAAATGATAGGATATGCGTGCGCATAAGACCGTTGGAAAAGGTAAATAGAAGTAATAAACACTTGTCATCTCGTTTGAATTTACTAAGTACTCCGTTTCCTGTGCTGTATTTTACATGTAAAGAAACATTGACATCTTGAATTAAATAAACAGGAATGACAATATAAGTATATACAATTTTTATAAAATATTCGAACTAGTGTTAGATTATACGACAATTATGTGATAATTATACTCTTTGGTTAGCTAAACGTGACGAAACATTACCTGAAATCTTTTCTATTTTGGTCGCAATTTCATTTTCGCATGCCAATTTTTTTTCTAATGGAAGGATACAGTAATTTGCGAAAAAAATTATTTCGTATTAATATATACTTACAATTGGAATTACATTATTTTTTTCTTGTTCTTATTATAAATTTGCTTTATTCGAAGGAAATGTGCGCGACATGTGGCGCATCTGTATTTCTGTCGTACATTCGTTTAAAATTATTTTAGTATTACAAATATCTAGTGATATATTTTTATTGTATGTTATTTTTAAATTATCCCGTCGAAACGTGTGCCCATGCCTTCCCTTTATTTCAGGCTAAATTTCCCATACTGTTTGATGAATTGCTATATCAATAATACCTTTTGAGAGCAATAACAATTTTATTACAATATTATTCAATAATCGTTTTGTGACATTATTTATGTACATCTCTTAATAATCTTTTAATATGCATAGATTGCAATTTTATTATATTTCAGAATATATTCAGCAAAGATGCAGCCATTGTTATTGCTAGTGGCATTGATTGCCTTCAGCATTTGCAATGTAGAAACTACCTCGTTGCTCGATTGGGTTTGGGGAAATAAGCCACTTGAGTCAACAGTATTAGTCGCTGATGGCATACCACTCATATCAATTCCATATGAATCTATGACTGACGATGAAAAATTCCTTCAAGAGGCTGCAAAACTCACAGAAATTCAGGTTTCGTCTCCTTTGGATACTTGTCAGCACAAAGTAGTCATGAAGATAAAGACTTCTTGTAGCGATATAACTGAAGAGGAACTTGCGAAACTGAGCGTCAATTTACTCAATTGTCAATCAGCAGTTGAGGGCAGAAAGATGTTTTCTTGTACCGAGGAGATGGTTAGTATATTTCAATTCCTAATTTCGTATGTTGCACTATAACGTATCTTACCAGTGCAATGTTGGCACATTAAACTCTGAACCTCTACCCTAATTTAAGTCTTCTTCAGAGCGGGTTCACTGTGAACGTGTTCAAACTTGCATCATTTCTCCCCACCCAGTTCAAAAGACAGACCCCCTCAAAGCTTTGGTCCCCTATAGCATACAGTATTGTATGAACTTTATATCCTGTAGGTACTTTATTATCTCAGTGACATTATTTCCGTGTTCAAAACGATTTTAATATTATAAAACAATTTTTATAAACTAATAAAATAATAAATAAACTGTTAAAGTATATTGGAACGTAAGTATCTTATATGTATTATTAATTCATAGTCCCTGAAGCAATGTACAACGGATATGGACCCAGATATGTGGAACGCGTATCATTTAATGAGTAACAGAGCAAGAGCTGTATGTTATGCAGCACGAAATACACAATTTCGAGCTCTCACAGAATTAACAGTAAACAAACTAATGCATACAGCTCATTCCCAAATAAAAGCATTGAGTTCCTTGAAGGTAACGTCTATATTTTTCTAAGAAATTAATTTTTAGTAAACAGTAAGTATATTGCAGTAATGATTTCATCTTTCTTTTAATAATAACAGTACCAATAAATTTATAATTTGATATAGGAAAGTCAAGAGCGTCTAGAAGAGCAAACCCTGGAAGCACTGTCTTCGTTGTCTGATGGAAATAAAGCCTTGTTACAGCAGCAAGAAAATTTGAAGAATGCTCAAGCTTCGGCACATCAATTAGTCACTACAAATCTGAGAGAATTAAACAACGAGAAAGCTCTTATACGTTCTGGTCATGCACAACTAGCAGCTATGACTGAAGATATAAGGAACAAATTAGGTACCATCCATATAAATTAATATTATAATCTTCATTTACTTCTATGTTAATCAATGCATATCATTTTATAGAAAAGGCAAGTCAGGAACTCATCGAACAGTCCGTGGAGCGTGGTGAAAATCACAAGGAAGTAATTGCTGATTTGATGAATATACAAGTTCAGGCTCATCTCATCTGGGACAGAATAGAGTCCAGCACAAATCGAATAGTTGCACAGAATATGGAGGCTGCTGCGCAGTATGAGGAGACCCTGAAAAAGTTAGAACAGATCAATGAGACTATTCATTTCATTTGGAATATAACAGACACGATGCGTTTTGAAGTGGATCGTAAGCTGGGCTGGATTACTGAATATATTGGTGACACAGGTCAGTTGTTGTATTAATTTTTTGTTCAATTTTTACATACATTTTCAATTACAGGCGAACAATTGCACAGAGCTTACCGGAGCGCAATGCATATTATTTATTTACTTATTGCAATGGTAGTTGCTGCATTCTTACAAGCACCATTCCTAACCCGCGCTACAATTATGGGAGTTGTTCCCTTAAATCTTGCTTCGTTTTTAAAACATGGCACCGATGCATGCCTGGATTTCATCTCAATAAGTGCCTTAATATTCTTGATCACAGCGAGTGAGTATTATTCATATACAAGCTATACCGCAAGAGATTTCATTCTATTCATGCTACTTCATTTTTCAGTGCACTACGTAATGGTTGGAATACAATATCTATTTGGTCCAAACAGAAAGACTGTTCCCATAGACTGTTCCATTCCATCCATCAGATTAACAAATGCTAATGGCGCATCGAATGGTTATTTGTACCAGCATTCGCCAAGCCCAGTACCATCAGTTCATGTACCACTAAATATCAGAATCCTGAAGAAACTATATGATATATGGAATATAGTTCTGTATCAAATAAGCTTCTATAAAAGTAAGTATTTAAAACTGCTCAAGATAGAAATAGTCATTACATATGTTTTCAATATATATTTCCTTGCAGATAAAATTCAAACCTGTATCCCGTCATTGCCATCCTGGACTCGCCGTAGTATGACACCGTACGAAGAGATGTCCTGTTCGTATGTGTCTTCGAAAAAATCGCGGGAAGATTTGATCACGAATTACGCAAAAGAATTTCCTAGTATGTCGGATGATGCTACGGATTACGAATCTTCAGGACTGAATGAGGTAAACGATAAGTTCGATGATCTTGATGATATCGTTGATGCCAATGACCTCAGACGTCGTATGAATAGAAGAAACGGTTCTGTCTCAAGAACCACTGCTAATAATCGGATTACCTCACCAAGAAGGTGATATAAAAATATATCATTAATAGCAATCATTTTTCTTTTAATGTCATCTCATATATATGTTATATTACAGCAATACACCCACATTCTCTTCACCTAAACTTCTATGCAGTGCCATCACAAGAACCGGAAGATCATGTCGTCTCTATGCACAAAGTGGCCAGAATTTTTGCTTCCGTCATTCAAATGGTTCGTCATTTATGGGTGACTAACTCGAATATTAAATAATAAATTCTATACATTTAATTAACACATTAAAGGCGGGAGATCTTGACGAAAGTATGCTAGGTAACGCGGCGACCGCCCCGCCTCGTTTTTCGTCCTAGAGCGGGCGATATTTTGTGTAATCATAAAAAAATTTAGACTTAGAAAAGTACTACGACTCCCGCCTTTAAGCTACAGTCGAGATAAATCGTAGTACTACGACTCCCGCCTTTAATGTGTTAATATAGACAAGTTCGAACAAAATACTGAGTATTTGACAAATTAGTACTTAGTTCAATTTAATTTTTGGTGGATACCTGGTTATACAAATTTTAATTTACCAACATTTATTTACTAACTTAATATTTATTAGTTCGATTTCTTGGTTAGTTTAATTCTTATATACTAATATTCAAATACACTAGCTATTATTTATTTATGCTTGAGGCACTGTGTTTTTACAATTTTGTGATCAATTGTGTGACCAATACCTATTACCGATTAATGTTTACATATTGGACATAGAACAATATTGGGACTTATTAAAAACTAAAGCATAGTATAAGTTTATGTATATTTGATGATTACGCTGGACATTTTACAATAAAAATTTTATATCGTTATAAAATTGTATTACAACGGTGACATAAATATACATTATATTTTTTTTCTTTCACGAATGGAAAGGTGAACAAAAATTTCACATAATTTCTTAGATACATAGACAATGTGGCCTTTTATTATAAATACAACTAATATTTGATTAGGACTGTCAATAAGAAAAATAATAACTACATTGTAATAGAATAGTATTAGGATGTATCCATTTTTCAAAGAGCGCCAATTGTACATACTTCATTTATAATATAAAGAATGGTTCTCTACTATGTCAGACCTTGAAAACAAGTTTCTCAGACGTCATTCCCTGAGTGGTTTTCAACGTTTGACTAAGAATATTTATAGTCTAGTGACACTAGTGTGATATTTTGTAATACGATTGTATAATAGAATGTTCTCAAAAATGTTTGGAAATACATTTATTTATTTGCTCCTTATTGAAAGCCGATGACGTCATTCGTCTACGTCAGTACCGCGGGATTTCCACAAGATAAAAAATAATGAAAATCAATCGGGAGGAAATTAACGGAAATAACAAAAAAGTATCCACGAAGTCACTGACTTTCCAAATTTTTAAGTTAAAGATTCAAACATAATAAATTGGAAATTGATTAATGAGTGGATGGATATTTAATATAATAGTGACGTAAAAAAATACATTTATTTATATAATAATTTATGCACAAGTTGCTATATTGAGCTGCGTACAAATGACACTACTGGTCAATTCCATAAATCCAAGATCCTTATCAAAACCAGCTCCAATAATCAAATTACGAAGATTACAATAATTAGATCCATAATCAAAAACGACGAACCAATCGCTGGACCTGGATTCTCCCTATGTAATGAAAAAAATATTGGTACAACAATTCTCACCAGACATATCAACTTGCTGATAACACACTGTAGCAACGCATGTCTTTTGCGGCGCATCTTCAAAGACAATCTTTATCTTATCCGTTAATTTTAAATTCGGTGTAACGTGAGTAGCTCTAATCACTCCATCCTCATTGGGCTCAGGATTCTGAAGCTTTAAATAAAATGTTAACTATTATTAAAACAAATCTAACACAATGACTTACATAGTACAGACATCTACTGCCACGTGGACCGAAATCATTACACGTAGACCATTTTAATATTTGTGCTCTGAAACGTTGCATAATGCAATTGCAAGGGGCGCTGAATTTCCTGTAGAAAGTAACGGATATATATTTTTTTTAAAGAATTTATTCACAGAAGTACAAATACTCTGCGCTATATGGGATTATGTGGATAACGGATGGCAACACTATTTAGCCATAGGTTACGTAGATATTCTCATGGGGTTAAAAAGCACCGCTCGTATATTTTTCCAAGCGATGCCTGGTCGTGGATAAATAAACGAATTCCATGGTAAATAAACGTACAGTGGTGCGATATCGAGTTTCCCTGGATAACTTAAGACACCCTGTATAACTGTTTAGGGGTTGTTATTATGTATTACTGGAATTGTGTGATGTACGTACGCGAGAGTGTGGAACTGTCACAATTTACCATTTTACGGTGCAGGATGCGTGCATTGGATATGGGAATATGGAACTGGTGAAAAATGTGCAAACAAGAATTGCCAGGACGCTGAAAATGCAGTACGTCTTGAAACTGCAATTTGAACCTTTCGATGTTCTGACTTCAGGAAGTTCATTGTCTGTTTTGTGAAATTGGATAATACTCGGAAGTTTAATACTGTAAGTGTAATGTATTCCAAAATGATCTAATTTCCATATATACCATTTTCTGTTATATCCGTTGGTGATTCTTCTGGTTTGAATACACGCTCAATTTCATCTCGTGAATATGGCGGTGGATATTGTGGCATCAATTTGATGACAGTTTCTGTGTCACCCGTCATCCTTTTTGCTCTTTACTTAATCCTTGATGCCCTTTCGATGATTTCACTGTCTGAGCATTTTCTAGGTTAGTACTGGGCGTTCCTGAACACGTTTGGAGGAGACTACTCCACGGGAATAACTTTTATGATGTAAGATAAATCGGTTTTGCACATTTATTTATGCGAACCGATTTACGTTTCTGTTGTCACGAGATAAACAAAAATTGTCAGCACAGCCAACGTGCTAACATCATGAGGATTATTGACTGCTTAATTCTTTTGCGAAATAAAAGAAAATAAAGTGAAATGACTACGTCCCGGAATTCAACACTGCTACTAAAAGAATCACTGTACCACAGCATCAGGAACAGCCGGACTTCCCACGGGTCTAGATTTTTCCTCCATCTTTTTTTATTCCATCTCGCGGGTCTATTTTTTTAAAAAGTTTTTCTCTTTTTTCTTCAAGAAGACGACTCCCCGATGACTACTATCCAAGGTTTAAACGTCTTCGACAATTCATCTTATATAGTCGTATGTATCGCACCCTCTTCGAGTGTCCCCTCTTATACTATTTCATTTTTTTTTCTCTGAGTTTCTGCCCTTTTTTCTTTTCTTCCTCCCTAGAAATTCGAAGAACAGTACACTTCCCGGTATACCCATAAGACATAAATTAATAAAATTGATTTCTTTTAAACAGAGGCACAAGAGGATAAAACGTACTCGTCGACATTTTATTTAACACCACGACTTTTTCTTGTCGATCTACACCAGGATGAGACTCACCAGGTACAAAATACAAACTACAGAATGTCAACGAGAGATTCTCGTGGCAGTTGTCAGTTGGCAGATGAGCCACGACGACATGGAAGACGCAGAGGACAAGTCGGATTGAGGTATGAGGGGGAAGAGCGTCGGTACGTCTTGACGTCGCGACGCGGTGGTTTGTCGTCTCGTCACTTCGTCACGCAGCTTCTTCCATTTCCTCTTCTTAGGGTTGACGAGCACAGTTCTCTATTTTCGACCTCATTCAAAACCTTGTCGTTTAAATCCCAACTATCTATACTTATGTATCTGTTCAAGTAACACGGATACTATGTTAGTATTTCTCTACAAACAGCTTGGTGACTGATTAGTTATTAATTATTTCGTCCATATTATTAAAGATTGTACCTAACAAATTAGATAAACTCAGAAGAATTGTATCGCGGCTTCGTTTGACCATCGAAAGATTTTCAAGGTAACTAAATAGAAACAAAAAAATATATAAGTAAGGGGAGACGGTTAGTTCTGCGAATATGGGTCAGACAAGGTAATGAATGGAGACAGTGTTTTCCTGCTTACTACTTTGCCTAGGAGCAGTGAAGATTTAGCATATATTTATAAATGATAGAAACAGTATTGGTATACTTACTTCTTTCACGTATAAAAAACTTATCAAAGATTTTATTTTTATTTACAGTTCCTGCAACATATGACGAATAAAACGGTGTCCTACATATAGACTCGTCGAAATTGACGCAATTAGAGAACAAAAACTTGACGCTTTTAGGGAGCACTGTCGGCATAGGGAGAGACACGCGAGTCGCGAAGAAGAAGAAGAAGAAAACTAGAGAGTCTGAAAGAAAGAAAGAAACGATCCAGGAACGTCATGTGAACCGGATTCTATAGCGGCAGCTGCCGACTTGACGTCCCGTATCGTTGACGTCTCTTCTGCTTGGGTCTGTGGCTTTTAACGTAAACTCGTACGCATAAATGTGCGTTATACGTTCTACATACTTCTTCTCATATCGCGTAAGACAGCAAAAGGAAAACAAAAAAGAAGTATCGAAGCAACATCTATTCTCTTTGTGTTAATCTATCACTTTGTCCATAATGGAAGATGCTAGTAACGTTCACAAGAAGATGGACGAGTAGTCTGATTATTTAATAGTATCCTCATGGATGTATGGGACAAATTAAAAATGTCATTTCGCATTAGGACGGCTTTTCAAAGTAGAAAAAAGGACGGACTACCCTTGCTTAACGTAGATACTTGCGACATAAGCGACAACCGTGAAGAAATTCAAACTTTCCTTCTGTCCAAAGACTGTTTTACTTTTCCTCCAATACTCATGGCGGTAAATTCAAACTGCGTTAGCCTAACCTTAAACGAAAAAAAGGTATTTTTATTAAAAAATATTTTTTTAACTTTTCAAATGATTTCAATGCACATGGCGGTATTACTGTTTATTGTATGCTATATTAATGCTTATACGTGCCCATTAGGATGGAACCCTTATAGTCTCTTGTGACGTGACCCAGGATATGGAGGTCTCGAGAAAGTTGAAAGAGGACATTTTCGAAAAAGCAGGGCGTCTCTCCATCAATCACAGCAGCTGTCCGGCGGACGGCGTAGAATATTGCTTGGTATAGATGTTCCTCGCCTTTGGTAAGAGAGGCCATATAAAAGGAGGAGTCCATATTTCCATTAACGCAGCACCGGGAATAAACGGCCTCCTTCATCGAGCATTCCTTAATTTCCGTTCACCAAAATTCATCCATAGATAAGTATACTTCTATATATCTATACGATCCACTACCATCCACGAATGAGGAAATCATTTATTTAACTCAATGAAAGCACGTCATGTCTTTCATAATATATTTCTCAAAGTCTCTCGGTTTACGACTAAGAGATATCAATGAGATTGCAAAGATGCCAAATAACAATAATAATTTATTGTTATTGCTCTTCCACACCATGTATTTCTTTTCCACTAGTCTTATTCTTCTTTATCTATCGAATATCTTTTTATTTTTCTTCTCCGTCGCATCAAGAAATCCAGCACGACCCCGTATCTCCATTAACACTTGGTTCTTTCGAGAAACTCTCTTCCGCCCATTGACAAACTTTCGACTGGGCATAAATTTATTCGCGCGACTGCCGTCGCCCGTCGCGCTGCTACTAGTAGTCGTATCTTTATGGTCGCTCGTTTCTATTTTATCGCTCAGCTTCTCACTGGCTAGTGAAACATTCTCAAAGGTGCTACTCGACCAGCCGACATAAGACGGCACTCCATTCAGGATTCTATCCCAAGGGAGGTTGAAAAACACGTGATGACATCCGCTGCCACTACTATAAGCTCCTGAGAGTATCCATCTTCTTTCTCCAGTTAGGTATACAAGGGCATGTATATACCTATATAATATTGTATATATAATGTTTAATCGACACATATTACATTTTTTAAATATTTTTTGGAGTTTTACCTCTTCTGTGGATCTTTTCAGAACTGGGACCGTATGACTCATTTGGTGTCTTGAGTCTAGAGCGCCCGGTAGTAAGGAAAATAAATAGCAACGACGTCTTGATGCAGTTGCCGCTTTCATGGAAATAATACATAGGTAAACATAGCTCCTTGAGAAATTTACGTTATAGCCGTGGGAACCATTAAGGAGCACTTAGCGGTTTTCAACTAGAATTAAGAATGAGTAAAGAATCGTAGAATGGATGCACCTGTGCGATAACATACACACGGTTGGAACATAAAAGATATTTTAATTCGCAATATTGTAAATTGAATTTAGGTTCCGGGGCGTCGTTAAAGTCAATTGAAAAAAAAGAAAGAAACCAAAGGAGAAAATATAGCAGAGAGAAAAAGAGGAGAAACGACAGTGAGACTTGATTTATGGTGAGTGTCGAAGATATTCTTAAAAATTTCCTCTGCTTCGCCGAACCTGAAAGAGAAACCGGAAGTACGGTGTGAATCTGTCGGTGAGACGTCTCGTCGGTTAGGCGTCGTCGGTGACATCGAGGACGATCGCACTTGGTTAAAAACGACAGTCGCCCTTAACCTATCCCACTTGACTAGGTGAATATAGGTGGCGTATACATATATCTATACACATAGCGAAAAGGGTCTCCATCTCCTGCTATGGGAGGACAAAGTAAAAAGGGTTGTTCCAAGGGATTTATGATTGGTTCTTTAAAAGGGCCCCCCGAAATTGGAGTGGAGTCTTTTTTTAGAAAAGAAAACAACTCCCTTAGCACGATAACGTAACATCATTTTTTTCTTAGTACAAAGTGTCCAGGAACGGACTATAGGAATTCTAACCTATGTATAAAATGAATATTCTGATACCAGACTATATCCCATAGAATATTATATGCTTTGCTGGGTTCATCTTTTTTTCTTTTTGAATTTTAGTACGCTATACGTACCGTAACAAAGGATGGGGCGGGACGAGAGTTATGGTCACTAGTTATTTCTTCACGATACCATGACATTCCATCCGCATCTAATTCCTGACAAAGTTACAGTAAGTTCGTCCCGCCCCCGTAGCGCCCTCGACCGTGTAGACGGAATTGAACGTAAGATGAACTCGTGGTGGGAGACACGCTTGATTATTCGGTGTTTTTTGTCGGGCTGGCGCCAGCGGGGCGGACCCGTCTGTAACCGAATAGCTAAAATCATCCTGCGTGCCAATTTCAAAGTCTTACGTTGGTCCGGCGAAGAGGAAGCACAAAAAAGTAAGAGTTTTTAATGTATGAGACATACCAAGATACCGTTGACCATTTAGATCCTCTTAGAAATTCATAGCCCTGGGGTACCTCTTGTAAAAGGTCAGGGTCATCGAGTGGAGAGTCTGTAGAATTTTTATATAAATTACAATGTAATTGTACAATAGTAGTACAGTATACCTTATATATATATATATATATATATCATTTTATTAATTTTTTATAATGCCGTAGAAAAGTGTAAAAATTAAATGTTATAATCAAAAAAGAAAAGTTATTTAATAAAATGGTTCTGATCCCAGCTATAGGAAAGTGGGCCGAATCCAAGGAGTGGCTGGTATAAGTAACGCTTGTATGAATCCTATGAAAGCCTAAATGACACAGGGTAACAGCTGTCGGCCCGACAGAAATGCCACAGCCGGTCAAAACGCACGACGTATGACATATGTACATATGTAGAGTATGTGTGGGTCTATGCTGCGAGTAACTTGAGCGGGATCGAAGATCCAGCTGGTTTATGGGATGACAACAGGTGCAGCCTGGTATCCTGCATTTTTATGGGCGTTTCTCACCTGGCTCCTACCTGCTTACTTTCCACCAATAGCATCCTTGGAATTTAACCATTAGTTCCTGGAAGCATTCCTTGGCCGTCGATTGGTCCACAGGTATAATAGTAATGGTGATTGGGGATCTTCCGTAAGCAATGGCGTACAATTCTATTAGACTTTCAGGACTCAACGAGACGGTGCTAAAAGGGTGGATGGAGATTGATTTAATGTATTCTTTACTCTAGGTTATAATAGTCAAACCAGAAACTCTGAGAAAACAGTCATGAATACGTCAGCGTTCTTTCGTCGGCACTATCCTGGATCCACGGGGTGCTTCCAAACATCGGGCACGCTTCCTTCCAGGAGGAGACGAAAGCGTCGCGTGTCCCATTTTCCAGGAAGCAGGATCATCCTATATTCCTCCAGTTCATATGTGGCATGGGATGTGGAATGTGGCTACTGGTTACATGGCAGCTATACGGCATTCATCTGTAAATTTGGTAAGTCATTAATAGTGAAAAACAATTTTTGACTTGCATACAATTCTGGATTTAAAACCTTCAAGGGGGTATCGAGATCGTGGATGCTGTACGGTTTGAGGATTTAATGAACCACGATGGCAGGAGTGTAACAGGGACCGGCAACTGTCGCAGAAAAAAGGGCCTCACGGATTGTCCATAAGGCCCCTCGCATTCTCAGCGGGGGTCCCATAACACTGTACGTTTCCACGGCTAAAGAACATCGTCCTACCTACTTTGGTCCATTGTCCTGTTTCTATCTTTGCTTTTTTGCCTTTTTTCCTTATAAGTCTGTATGGTACGAGCGTGGATACGCGTCCTGTAGAAATAGGGCCCAACGTAGGTATCTATATACCTACGTACGTAGCTAAAGGTCATTCCTAGAAAATGGGACAGACACATGTGTTACTACTCGGACCCATTGTCTTGGATCGTAAAAGAGAGTTGAACGTTTCGTGCCGCTCTTTGGGACCCATTTCAGGGACCTGGAAAAACAATTCTGGGTGGTTGATGGATTTTCAAAATGTCCAACTTTTTTATGGTTACGCCATGACTTTTATATAAAGCTGTAACTCTTACAATTCTGAACCAGATCCTGGTTATATTTTTATGCAATCGTCATACTGTAATGTTTGGCACAGTACAGTTGAACCATTTTTAAAAATGGCACCACGAATCTAAATTCGCCATTGCTATCCCTACCCCGATGGCGAACACGTGTCCTGCAAGAGACAAAAGTCTCGTATACAGTACCGGGTAATAAAGGCAAAAGTACAATTTTCCTATACAAGCTTCCGGTGTGTTTCTAGCAAACAAGAGACAATGGTTCTCCAGCTTTTCGTCCTGGACCCCCATAGGGCCTTTTATAAGGAAGTAGCCCATCAGTCACAGTCTCTAGAACCTCTGTGTTCTTAAAAGGACATAATTTTTCGAAAAACAAAAATTTACCAATGTCTCTCAGACGTTAGTAAAGTAATTCATTGTTTGATTATAACATTGTTAATAACAAACTCAAATTAACCAGAATGTATGTGCTTTACTGATTAAAATAAATGACGCTGACTGTACCAACGCGCTGTCATTCAACATGACGTATATTAAAACTAAAGATAGATGAATAATAATGTTCCTCGTGTCAACAAGATGATTTCTGTCTCCGGTCGGCCCAGTTATTACAGAACAGTTTTTCATCGTGACCTCATACCTTTGCGATACTCAAATGTATTCTTTATGTATATTTTTTTAAATAAAGTCCCATTATCCATTTCCCATCACAAGTGGCAATCCGGATTCTCAAAAATGTTCACAGGTTCGTCTATTGAAAAAAAAAGTTTAAGTAAGTTCACATAACCAATATTGAAATATTTTATTTCTATTAATTATCAGTCAAATTAATTTACCATCTCAGCACTATGAAGACACTACAAATGGTGTCCTCGCGCGACACAAAACGTATTACCTTCTTGAATTATGAAGCATGAACGCTGAAAGCTTATCGTTCCCATCGTATAACCCTTCGCTAATTCCGCCATTAGTAGCGGCACGTTGAATTTATCACCCTCGTAACCTGCCAGCCTGAAACACGCATGCATTTACGTTTATACATTGGCTATTAAATGCCTCACATTAATTCAAGGTATAATGTGAATATACGCAATAAGCATATATACGCCAAGCATAGTAAAAGTAGATAAAAATGTTGAAAAATCTTTGAATTTTCAGTAAATCAATATAGATAAACTCACTGGTTTAATGGCAGAGATTATACATCTCAAGATAAATCCAAGTCTCATTTTGTCCGTCGTTTGGGATGTATATGTACGTAACTTCAGGATTTACCTGTAACTTTCGTTTGAATACAAATATACACGTGTATACCTACACAAATCAGTTTTGCCAAAGAACCTAACGTAACAAATATTTAAAGAGAATACATATAAATATATATCTTGTACTAGATAACACTGCAAATAAATTGTTCATGAGACAGATGTTCCGTAAAAGGAACTAATAAAATGCAATTCCTTTCTACGTACCAAGTGCAACGTATGGCAACCACGTGTATCTTGCGCGTCATAGCCGTGAAGTTGCCTGCTTTCCGTATCCCTTCGTTCCTTAAGTCAATCCCTTGATTCGAGATATCGATTGTCTGAAAGTAAAGATGGCGACGTGTCATTAAAAGGCATTTATCTAGGTGTGATTTACTTTTAGTCATAAACCATACAGTGTTATTTTTAATCTAGAATTGACTTAAAATAATTTAAACGTCCGGGTTAATGATTTGGCCTACGATATGGAGTTGGACTAGTTCTTTAATTTCGAGGCACCCGGTATATGCGGGAAAACATCGTCTTGCGACACCTTGGAACAATATACAATTAGTGACAGCGGAAGTAGCGAAAGCTTCGTCGCGGAGCCGCAGTGTTTGTTTGATTTGAAGCCAGCAGCATCCAAGTCGTCCAAACGGTTCTACCGCTTCTGTCATTGCTGCCTTTCTCTGGAGTGCGCGAAGGGGAAACTCGAGGTTCCCGTAGGACCACCCTGATCGCGACTTATACCTCGTGATTTAGCGGAGCGACGGAGAAATGAAGAGAGAAGAAAGACGTTTTATTGCGCCAATGAAAAATTAGTGCTTGGCTACTGCAGTCTCTTGGTCTCTTTCTGTCCCGAGTCATCTGGCAATCTCCATCCTTAGATTCTTTCTTTTTCATCTCATCCGCTTCTTGACTTTGGGGATTTATACAGTTATAAAAGTATCTCAAAAATGTGTTTGAGAACAAAGATAGAGGACCTCATTTTTTTCAAATAACTTTATCACTTCCGTTATCTTTATTATAAAGATGCTGCGACAAATGCAATTATATTCGGCGGTCATCATTAAATTTTGAGAATAATTATTTTTGAGTATTCAAATAAATTCTATGAAATTCCTCTTTCCAGAATACGGCTACTAAAGGACCCGCTATTGTCAAGAGCGAATGCGCCACCAGCAAGTGGACAATGGCTGCCATCCCTTCGTTATAGGGTGGCCATTAAGTCGGCTTGTGGCTTCGAGAGTAGCTAGGGGTGGTTATACAGGATTCGCATAGTCTACCCGGACAAACCCTACTTGCCGTGGGATTTAGGGTAGCCAATTTGGAAATACCCAGAGCCACTCCAGTTTCAAGGAAAGAAGTGCCGCCTTAATCTCGTTAAAGGAGAGCTTGACAATTTTTGTTGTTTTTGAAATTTCCGCCAAAATTGTATACGTATGTAAGAAAGCTAGTGTTTATGTCAGTTCGTGATAATTGATGGAATTGCTTTTCGACCATGCAGGTTCTCTTTGACGTAGCGACAGACACGTAGTTGCAAACATTAACGTGATGGCGAATGAATGGCGAACCTAAATATTTATAAATTAGCAGTTTCTTTTTTTAACGTAAACATGGATGCAAAGTTTACGTTACAAGTTTGTGATTAAATTTTGTCCTTAAAGAAAGTCACATAATTTTATACATTTTCTCAATAATTTTCCGTTAAGTTCAACACTGTCTCTTTTGGTCCCCTAACTATAAGATAAAGCCCTAAATGTAAATTCGTACAAGACATGAAGTAGTCATACCGACTTGGTCCCTAAGTATAACCTTTTAAAATGAACGTGCTTAAAATAATAGATTGCGGAACGCATAGCTATGGCTTACGGTTAGTACAGTTTGTATGGTAGGGAAATACAGCACCCGCATGTTCCCGTCTTTGGATTACCCGGCTAATAAAATCCTCATAATCCATCGCAGTATCTGTGAAAAGTGTTTGAATATTATTCGAAAATTTCAGGTAAGAGAAGACTGTCTTGAAGGTTTTTTTTTTTTCAAAACTTAATAAACCCTTTAAAACGACGATTGAAAGGTAAGTATAAAAATGATGATTATTTTTCAAAATATAGATCTACTCCATTTTATTTTTATATAAAAAAGAGAAAATCAAAGTTAATTATTAGAAACTATATTTTAGTTAATTTGGAAATTTTTCAAAAATTCATTTTTTTTGTTTCGAATTTTAAATGGCACGAAATGACTGTTGTAGAGAATCGTGAAGTTTTGTAAGAGATGAAGCTTTTAAAGGGGGGTCGTCAGGGACCTTATGTCCCATGGGACTTACGGGTGTAATTCAGCATTGTCTCTTAGCACAACGTCTGGTCGTTTACGAGGGAAATTTCAGAAAAATCTGGAGAACATACGAGCGAGGTATGTGCAAAGTGTGCACAACGCGCACTTGATTATTGACGTGACTGGAATCTCATTAAAGGTGCACGTAGGTTCCAAACGGCACATGGTCACCAAATTTTCGAATTTATACGGCCCTGACCGGTGTCGCACATGTGTCGGCCAGAACGAGAACTGAGAACTCGGAGACAGATAGGCACCGTGAAAACAGTATAAACAGGTAGCACGTGCTCAGGAGTCCTCGATGAATTTTACGAATGACCTTACACGTGACGAGAACAGTGGAGTGCAAATTTATTTCCAACCAAAATTGTTAACATCTGGAAATAATTGATTGATTGAACGATATAAAAATCGATATCTCTTAACGCTATTCGAAAGTTAATGAAAACAGATTTAGTCTTAAGATCCGTTTAAGAATGTCCGACGAGTAGCTGTGAAAACTTAGTCTGTTTGTAGGAAATCCATTTTGTCAAAAGTCAAAACGTAATTCGGCTTAAAGGCTCGAATAATATTTGTTTTTGAAAACAATAAGAAAATTTCGTGTGCTTCGCATTGGTTCATTTGGTACCGTTAGATATCGCCAGTACTTCAATATCAGTAGTGATGCTCCTAATTCGTGAGAAATTTACATAACCATATAATAAGAAATGGATCTGCGGTTTAAAAAGTTGATCGACAATGACTGGTTATTTCTATGAGTCGCAAATACTCACAATAGTCGACAATGTAAACAGCCAGAAGCCTCTAACATAAAGGATCCACTTGACAGAATCTGCAGGGTGGCCATTGTCGTGGCACTTGTCGTCATTTAAGAATCATAAAGCCATTCGACACGAATCTCAAGGTTTAACCTCAAAAGAAGAATGTCTAGAAGTGTCATAATCGGCACCTTATTCCCAAAATCACGACGCCAATTGAAACCTATTAATTTCCTTGATACTACTACCTGAATTTCAATTATTAAAATTTAGAATAACCTATAAAGTATAAATAATTCAAAAAAATAAATTGAATGAAATTATAATAAAAATTACACTATCCTGATATCCTTCGTTTTAGTTTATTAATGGAAATTCATCAAACTATACCGACCCGTCGGACACATCACATGCGGCTTAAACTCCCAATGGTTTTCGTCTTCTCAGCAATTCACTGTTCTACGACTACTAGACTTCAGATTATAAACCATAGCGTCCAGTACATCTACGAGCACCTTTGCCAACTGTCCAAGTAAGTACATCCCTATGGCACCGTGTGCTCAACACATGACGAACGTGCCTCCAGCAAACTTAGTGCGAACTATCTTTTGGCGCGGATCGTAAAAGTGCTTATAAACAATGCGAGTCTGGTTGGGTCTACCTAGAATACAAAATTCGTTGGCGGACGAAAAGACAGGCAGTGTGAGAACATTAATCATTTGTAGCACAAGGACACAAATGCAACAGAGTGCAAAAAAATACATATACATAAACGATATCAGTAGGGACATATGACAAAAAAAAAGTGAATTAAGTGAAAAATAGTATATAAAAATATGTACATACTTTTTTCAAAAGGAATTTCCAGATGCAGGTAGCCGAGCAGAGAAATGGTTACGCCTGAGCCTGGGATTTCCCCTGTATAAAACCCAGCTTGTACACAGTAACCGTACAGGCTTGTCATTACTATGGTAGACAGCTAGGCGCCCCTTTATTATTAGGGGTAGTAGCGGGTGGCAACGGTGCCTAGGGCTCACCAGGTGCTAATTGCTTTGCTGGTGGCTTATTGACCCAACCTTAGGAAGAATTGTCAGGCAAACTACCCTCCTGTACAATGTACCAGGCTGATGTAAACAGTCCTGAGAGACGTGCAAATTCTACGGTTAGATTAGTACCTAATAAGGTACTGGTCGATTGAATTTCTTATGTAGATATATATATAATAATTATATAGTACCTCTCACTTGGTACGCTTAACCTCCAAAATGTTCTATATTTTTCTTATATGTATTTTCAAACGTTGGTGGCATGAAACCAATGACAGGTAACGTTGATTGTATCTGGCAAAAAATTGAAAAATATGTTCAACACGAATACTTGGAATTTAATAATGCCTCGTTCACTAACTATTATCCTCCTGTTTGAACAGCAGAAACATTTTTTTCAAACGTCCACATACGAATGGGACCTGTCGCTCGAACACGACGTACGTACTAATGGATGTCTCCTTCGAAGATCCGATTTCGACTTGACGCTTCTACGAAGGAAGGATTTTGAGTTATTTTTCAAAATTTTCTTCTACAGCCAAAAAACTGTCGATAACTAGTTTAGGAATATGTATATCAATTCGTACTGTCTGAACGAGCAGCGGATTCATACCTGCATAGAGAATCGTTTTATGTACTAGAGGCATCCTGCCTGAATTATACACAATATCATTTTGGCCGAAAGACTGTGCGCCTACATATTCATAAAGCAGGAATACACGAGCATATGCGTGATCCACGCACCGTTTAACGATATTAACGCACATTTAATTGTGCGTGCTGGACGCGTTTAATTCCCAAGTGCTGCACTGCTGGATGCACATGCAACAAACGTCGTGGCCAGTTGCAGTTTAAGCGAGCCTGTCGGCTATGCGTTTCTCGTGAATTTTTCCAATTATTCCTGGTTTTGATGTTCCGACTTTCTGCACTGCGCATGCGCCGACCTCTATGTCAACCGTATACCGCGACGCTACCAAGACAGATTACAAGCCGCTCGATTAGGAACCTTTTGCTATTCCTGTACCCACTTGTCGTATCTCATATCCTGAAAGGACCTGTAGACATACCAAGTATTATACCAGCTCGTACATCACTGCACTTATATCCCAGTATCATAAGTACTTCACCTCAACGAGTCCTCGAAGCTGAAAGAGTCTGTACCTCAAGAGAGACCCTAAGTCTCTTGGCCAAGTTCCAGTGGAATATCAAATTGCCAATAAGGGGACCGATAAATAATGTGCTTCGCGCTAAAATAATTCTCACAGTTGCGGAACGATCAAAGCCGAGTAACACTAATTTTTCGTCATGAGAGCGAATATTTGTTTAAATAGTACGAAAGTTACCGCTGCTCGAGAGCGGCGCTGCTGTCGCTTAACGAAAACTTTGACGAGTGATTATTACACCTTGACGATCTTAAGATACATTTTGGAACTTTGCTTAACGTTATTAAAATATGTTTTTTATGTTGGTATCGTGCATCGAAAATTTTCGGCGGAACGCGTCTCTTGTGATAAAGAGTCGCGAGTCGAGGAAACGTAAAAGCAGGGATTTATAGGTTGCGGAGTGGCTTTCGAGCGTCACAACAAACACGTCTCAGCAATCCGCTCCGTTATCAATCACGCGTACGGAAACGGTGCTAGCAGCTACGAACAAACCGCGTCGTATAACGAAGCGACATCTTTAGCTTCATCTACATATGTGTATTCAAGTGACTGTGCACTCCGCACTTTCAAGTGGCACAATATCGCTGGAGTGTGGATTCTCCGTTTTTTTTTTATGCAACGATACGACCACCCCTATTTTTGGCACGCAACACCATAACTCACCGCTAATTTTCCTGGTGGCTTGTACGCGCGTGCGTATATGCATATGTATGTACAGAGTCTAAAGATGGTGGCTCAAGTCAAATTACTGCAATTTGCGTAAGGAACGTCGACGAATCGGCGTCGAGTGAACTTTTTGAAGTATGGCTATGAGAGGAGAAGTTAGGTGGAAACTTTTCGGAGGATTTTTAAGTATGCACTAGGTACGTTATTGTTAACATATTGTCTTTCGAAGGGGATCCAGATATCCTATCTCAAGAATCCAAATATTACACGGGCAAACGACGACTCTAATTGGGACTCGGAAATTTCGCTCGGCGGTAAAATCTATTTTCTCTGCGACGCCCGTCGTCCCTTTACCGCAGAACCTCGACATGTCGTATAGCGAGGTTGCAGACTGAAAAATTGACTTCTCAAAAATATCTGTGGGCAAAACGTATTAGGGTACCCAGTGGATTCCTCGTTTCTACGAAACTAACGGAAATCGTATTATCTGACACGTACAATAGATTGTGCCTTCATCAAATTTGAATTCTAAAACATTATTTATCCATATTCATGTCATACGAAAGTATTAAAATCAACTATCCCGATACATTAATCCATTTCCCTATTTTCCACTAAAGTCTTATTCAAATTATTGCATGTGTTAACTCTCAGTGCAACAAACTTGATCTACTGTCGATTTTACAAGGAACATAAACACGTCGAATGAGCACAAAGATCAGCGTACCAAGTACAACCGCTCCCGTCGGTAAACGTGCCACGATATAAATATTCAAGATGGGTCCCTACATTCTGCCTCTGGCGGTCCCCGCTCTTGAACATATCCAGGAATTGAGCTCACTCGTACCCATTAGAAGGAGACGATTCCATCCTTACAGTGAGTTGGCCAGGGACGATCGTGGGGGTACGGAAAGACACGGCTCTGGTCTCTACGTGGCTCGTGGGTGGGGACAACTGACAGCTTGGATAAAAGAAACCCTCCTGGTGGGGCTGACGCGGAGGGCAGGAACGCAGCACGAAGGAGGCGGGGTTGCTTAGCTGACATCCCGAAGGCAACAGTTCTGTATGCTCAGACAAGTCGTACCCTCCGAAGTGCACGGCTTTTGCTAGACTTTGGAGTTCTTCAAATCACCACAGAGACAAACGGTGGCTTTTGAGGTTACGTCGTCGCGAAGTGTCAAGTGAAGTGTGATCTCACGGTGTTACTAGACATTTTTACCAAATACGGAGGTTAGCTTTTTACTATTTATACGTCCACCGCGACGCGAAGGATTGATAAATTTCTAGGCAACGTCTATAAGAGCGATTACTCAAGATTACTCACCTGTTCAGAATAGCAGTCCATAACAAAGTAAAGCCTTCATGTACTGAAGCGGTGTATTTATTGTAAACTAAAGATTTGACTATCGTCAAGATGCAGGCGCAACCCGTGTCCTTGCAAGCACAACGTGTTCAGGGTCTCTATCTCCTGGGTGACAGTTCTGGTATACCTCACAGTGCTGGCAGTTCAGCCAGTAATTCTCCAGATCACTACGAACGTTTCTCACCACCAACACATTTAATGGATCTGAGTAATCCACCCGAGCACCGGGTACTGCCAGGACTTCACAATCATCACCAGGTCTATCCTCAAGGATACTACAGTGTCGTTTACGATAACATGGATGAGAAGCGTTATCAGGAACAACATAAAATGCTCTACGAGCGGGATCTCCAGGGTGATTACGAGCGTCGTCTACACGATCAGTCTCCAAGTTTTCTCTCGGATCACAGTCACAGCAGGGATCACGAGCAAAGTCTCTATCTGACACCATCTCCACAGATGTATTCCTCCGGTGAAGAAATGACAACGGCACATCATCCAGCTGCTTATCATCAAACCCAGGATTACAATAAGCACGACGTGGTAGACTACAAACCCGATGCGACGGACTACAAATCCGAGGTAGTAGAATTTAAGGCGGAGATGCCAGTTGTCGTGGAGCCTTCGTCGACGAAACACTTCGTAGACACGACGAGGGGTGTCACTGCTAAGAGGAAGCGTAAATCCAGCGTCGACAACAGCAACGAATCAGAAGGTGAATCGACATCGGGTACGAAAGTCAAAGTGCGCAGAAAGAGCGGTGCTACTTACGAGGAAATTCAAAATCAACGTGTAATGGCGAACGTGAGAGAACGTCAGAGGACGCAAAGTTTGAACGAGGCTTTTGCTGCCCTTCGAAAAATCATACCAACCTTGCCCAGTGACAAGCTGAGTAAAATACAGACACTGAAATTGGCCACGAGGTATATCGACTTCCTGTACCAAGTGCTGCACTGCAATATGGAAAACACCGATGGCTCTGAAGATACAAACGGTAAGGAGACAAAAATATAATTTAAAAAATATTAGCTAAGCGCTATAGAGTTTTATCATAAATATTCGACGATATCTCCGTCGTCAGGCTTGGCTACACGGGAGACATTATATTTACACGAGGGACGTTTGTTTATCGTGTAAAAGTAATTAAACAGACCCCCGTACTGGATTCTCGTAATTTAAGGGGACATAACCAAGCCTGCACGACGAGGACTCGACGATAGAGCTGGCCATTCCACTTTACCCATATGTATACACACCTAAGAACATTTATCCATTATAACAAAAATATGTATATACCTTCATATTCATAAGAGGTTATGTTTACCAGTCGTTTATTCTACCACCGGCTATCCTTAGCTTTATTCTTTTGTCAACTGTTCCTAAAGCAATCGAATTTATCTCTACCAATGTTTGTCTTACACGTATCCATATTTCTAGAAAAGACAGATGATTATTATTTGACATTGTAACATTTTCAAGCGTTACCAAAAGGTGCCTTGGTACCTCGGAGTAACAGTTACTTATAAGTCCTCAGAGGCTTCTCATTTAAATCATCCTCCAGTATCTCAGTCAGCGGTTGATGCGGTACAAGAGTCCAAGCGCCAGCGCCACCGGTTACAGGAGCATAACTCCACGTGACTAACGACATCGCGGTGCTCTAACAGTCCAAGAATGAGTCTCATTGGTCCAGTCTCTACGAAAGAGTACTCCTCCGCTCCTCCTTCATTTCCTTTCATGTCCACCTCCGTCGTCGTGAGACTCTATTGTCATTTGCTTCTTTTATTTTTCTCGCTTTATTCTTGATACTTGTTGACCGTTGTTGTCACCTTTTTCCAACATGCACAGAAATACTCTCGATTCTCGCACATTCCTCTTGCACATTTCGTAATATACCCTAGACAGTGGAATTTCCTTAGTGCCTACGGAATTTTACGAATTTTAATGTAACTCGTTTTCATGATCTTTTTGCTACTTTTTGTTTTCAGGCGAACGCAGTCCGAGAAGCGCAGTATTGGCTGCGCGTGAAATCACCTCTTCGTCCTGCAGCTATATGGCGCATGAAAAATTATCATACGCATTCAGCGTATGGCGAATGGAAGGCGATTGGAATTCGAATCTTTAAGTGGTTCCTTTTTTTAACAACAAAGGTAACCCGCACGAAAGATGAAGTGGTTTGTACCAAAGTGGAATGAAGATATACATATGTAAAATTTTATAATATTAGAACGCGTAGATGTATATGAGGATAGCGACACACTATCAGTAAAATTTCTTATTTTCGCTGGTACGAAAATTTCGAAATGGCTTTTAACAATAAGCGTCGTATTATTCGCAGAAAAATTTTTTCATGGAATTGAGAAAATTTCATATTTTCCTACAATGAGAAAATTGTCTGCAACAAAAAAATCGTGGCAATTCGTTAATTTGTGAACAATACATTTCTGCATCGATTTATCCAATCGATCCATTATAATGATAATATTTCTATTAAATTGAAATTCTTATTCAATCACACTCGAAGCCTTCTCAGTTCCATGATAGAGACGTATATCGCAAAATTTCGCAAAATTCCATCTTAAACGATACTATAAAACAACCCCTGAACTTCAACGACACCCGGTATCTATCTTTCCCCTCAGCTGTCCGCCCATTTCGAATAAACTAATAATTTATGTTTCCTCGGAGGTCTATTAAGTCGCGCCGGCGACTACTTCGCACTCGACCAACCCCCCTCTCGGTCCCCTCAACCAACCACAACACGTGGATCCACATAATTTCGCATGTTTCCCAAGCGCGAAGATTTGCGCAAAGCGCGGATAACCAGCACCCATAAATTCACTTATTAGTGACCCGTCCGTTGCTCAAGTCTCGTTTAAGGAGCGTTCACACACAGCGAAGAATGAAATACCAACCGTAGAATTAAGTATCCGGTCGTTATCGATGTTTCCCTTATAGAATGTACATGCAGAACATTTCATTGTCGCCACTTGAGTACGACCTATAGACCTCTTGAGGCTTGCTTAGTTACAACCCTGGGATTTCCCTTTGACTGGTATATATACACACCTACAAGGCTTAAGAAAAAGTAATTATTCTTCAAATTTTCTAAGCGTGTCCCTTTTACTGTCCAACCAGTCCCGTTATACTACAATTTATGGCAGTCCACTTCCCTGAGACACGTATCAGATTTCGTTCGGTATAATCGCGAATCGAGTATAGGCAAATCTACGGTAGTACGTTATGGGATATACTAACATTACACGTAGATATTACGAATGAATTTTTCAAGACGACGTTAGTCACTTACAAAATTCTTACAAGGGTGACCCGTGGAGAGAGACAGAGGGGCAAGGGGGTGTTCGTCAGCCAAGGGATCCGTAAGGAAAACAACGTAAAAAATTAACGAGCATTTTGGCGCCCATCGCTACCCGTCCCGACGCTCGGGCACAATATTATTTTTTTTCCCCCCCCTAAGATGACAGCAGCCTTCGCCCAGTATAGAAAAGACGTACTTCCACATGATCCATACTGCATAGGACTGGTAAAGCATCACCCTCCTTATTTCGGCTTTATTTACAACCACAGTTTCTGTCTTTTGCTTGTTGCTTGGAGAGATGACTTCTACACGATTATGAGATCGACGCCTGGCGTCGATACGTATACCCATGGCATATCCCCCCCCTCCTCTACTCCAGTTTTGTATGCCTACGTCCCTGCGTACACGACCGTGTGAATATTTCGGATGGAGTTAGTTATTTTAAACCAGCCAAAGCAAACTCTAGAGACGCGTTTGACTCGCTTAACGAAGACACGCCACGTTAGGGCCACGACTCGACTTTATTACCGCGATGAATCTGAAGGAGAAAGAATGAGAAGGGGCGAAGGAGAGAGGGGGTAGAAAAAAAAGGAGGGAAAAAATAGCGGGAAAGTTTGAAGTATATATGTGGATATATTCGATGCTTAACGGTCCTGACTTTGTGTATGACCGGAAACGGTGACCTTATTGCACAGCGAGGTTGCGTATCTCTTCCTGCTTTTGATGTATCTCGATTAACTCGTTTACTCCCTTTGGAATTTATAGTACGTGAATTTGTGCTTGAACTTTTTCCCTTTGTCCTCTTTGATTTTATACTCCTTACGCAGTACCGCATTTAACTAATAGGTATCGTAAATCTCTTTGGATTCAATTAGGGGAGATATTCGAGTCGACGTCGTAACCTCTCGAACCCCCTGAACCTACTGGAAGACGTCTCGGGGCGTCGCGGTGTTATAAAAACAAACTTACTACGATCCCCTTTCGCTTTGCGCCGTGTTGCGCATCTACTGGACTTGGATGGACTCAAAGGAGAGACTGGTGGTGTAATTTTTTTGGGGGAATCTTTTTTGCCGTTATTTTCCATTTTTCGTCTTGATCTCTGACCCGCTTTTCTTTTTTTTTTTTTCGCATTTTTTCTTTGGATCTTAAACCAGTTCTCTCTTTCTCTTGGCATTCGTAATCCCGCCAAAGACCATGTAACGAATGGACTGGCATTTGTCTACATGTTGGATACGCAATCGAGTACCATACTTCTTGGACACCCTATAGATATAAAGCGTATGTATCCGCGGCTCTGGTAAAAAGAAAAATATCAGAAAAGAAACGTGACAGCTGCGTTACTTCGTGGGGGCCTAGACAACCTTCTGAGTTGATAAAACGGACAGTCGAGCCAATTTCAAAAAATCTCTTATAATCATCCGGCACTTAGTGTAAATAATACATTTTCTGACATATTAGTAATGTCTAGAAGTTACAGGAAGAAGTGAAAAATAGAAAAGTATTACGAAACCACCTTGTGGACCGACTACATAGAAATTGAAGAGACAAACGATGAAATTGAATTAGCACTCAAAATGAGCCCACCTAGTATTACCCGTAGAAAGATAATCCCAGTATACGACATATTTATTTAGTATTTCGCGAATTATGGCTCTGGTGATTATTTTCTATAATTTTACTTCGTTTATCAAGCTATTCAATCGATGCAGTAAAAGCAGCTTTCAATTAGATCGATTGAAAGTTTATTAATAAATCATGTGTATCGATTAGCTCTGGAAGCACAAAGACGGTTACGCCGTCTAACGTTCTGTCCCTAGTCTTAAGTTAAGTTTAAATGGCGGCAAATTTAAATCTGTAATCCAACATTGGTCAAGTGCCTTAAACGTGCCTTGGCTCATACAGCTAAAACACCAAAGATTAACTGTACATACACCTGTACTACCCTATATGAGACTTGAAAATTAATATTTTTTCGACTATCCGTTAAAAACCGGATATCCCGGACTATGATATGTATATTTTGCTACGAGAGTTTATCAGTGCCTTAAGACTGTACATACAGTTATACGTGTATCAATGTATATTTCGCAGCGTTTTAACATTATTAAGTATATCACTTATAGTATTATAAGACTACGACTTTGTGGTGCACATCGGTGGGCCGGATAATGCAATAATTTATTACATTACAAAGCAGAGCGAGCAGATCGTCCATATGCATTACAATGAAAAAAAAAGATCTTTCGTTTTCTTTTTTTCTTTCACTCTCAAAAGTGTCTCATTGGTACTTTCAACTTGACCCGCGTCCAATTTGCCACTGTCAATTTTCGATCAGGCTGTAAATAACCAACGCTATTGATGCGCACCGCTTACTTTCAACGTTATACAATTGTACATAAATGTTACTATAAGACAAGCGTCTAATTTTAAGCTGTAGTCGAAATTAGGTGTATTCATTCCGCCGTTATTGTCGCCGTGCATCTCGTACAGAGCACGTTGCTACGTCGCCTTCGTATAAGATGATTGATATACACGTTTATATATTGTACAGTATTTTTATATCAGGTTCGTCACTATTAAAATAAAAATTTTCATCAAATTAATAGAAGGTTCATTAATTGTTAATAATTTTAACGTACTCAATTATCCATTACCTACATGTGCGTTGTGTCCTATTGGTTGATGTATGGGACCAGTGACGTCATCCCTGGTAAGCGTAGCGCCTCAACGCGCGTCTCTATGATGACAGTGAATGCATGAAATGTTCATCTTACGTGATAAATCATTAAACCTGGCAAAAGCTCCAACGTCCTGGTATCGTTTGCCGGGTGCAAGATTCACGATAAATAATTTACCAAGCGCCTTGCAATCGCGCCGGCCTAATGGATTAGCCGGGCCAGTGCAAATATTATTGCAAGGAAGCTCAAGAGGTAAACGCCCACGAGCAGCGTCACTGGTCGAAGCAACGTCATCGAGATTCTCGACAGCCAATCAGCGTAGTCCCTTTCCCCCATCCTCGTGGCACAGACGCAACAATGGTAATTTAGTCTTCTCTTTGTAGTAATCAGAAAATCATTCCTTTTGGCGAATTTTCCATCGGCGATCATTTAGTAACGTCTGACTGCAATGCGTTGTAGATTATTAGTAAAAAAAAAAAAAATGTTATTTACAATCATATCCATTTGTAATCTTGACAAATGTGTAATGCTGAATTTCAAGTTTTGAGAAATATAAATAGTCGCTCATAAAAATAAATAAATACCGTCGCACTCGTGTAAAGGGACTTTACGTGTCATCCGGAATTTTTTGCGATCGTCAGTAGCTGCACTGCCAGACGCAATAATCGTTAATAGCTCGTCGGCACGCATTATGACTTTTTCTCCTTGAATTGTATATGTATATACGTATCAAGCAATGCACACCATTAATGACTATAATAAGCGCTGTAAATGATACAACTAATAACAACGATGCGAAGCTGCATTCAGTCTATTATAAACTAACATAAAGAGAAGAAGACCATATAGTCGAAGAGAATACAGAAATAACATAAACGGCTAGAAAAGATTGAAGAGATAAATAAAATCATCACAGACAATCCGCGCGTCTCTTAAAAACCTTCATCTAAATCTTGGTACAGAAACGTCAAGAGAAGCGCAAGCTAGTCGGAAAAAAGTCTGACGGTTTCGAGTCATAAAACAGTCTCTGGTGGCAACGGGGAGAACAGTGGTGCACCAAGAAATTTGAGAAAGTTTCCCCGGACTAAAGATAGCACAGAATGATCATTTCAATTAAAGAGATCATGTGTCTTTTCATCGCACGAGGATCAACGATAAGTATCATTTGATTCCTACAGCCTGAGATAATTTCTAATAGATTAGATACCCATAGTTCATACGTCATTGACGAGATAAAAATATGCCCTGATCGATAATCTCGTCACTCATCTTAACTGATCCGAAGATCTAATGATCGAACGATCATTCGAAGCACGTGGTTAGATGATCTAGAGTCACTTATTACTTAAATAATGGTAATTCTTGTCACGTAGATGTTGTCTCAGCAATGGTCCATTCCACGTGTATAGTTGAGATGTTGGGACTGGCTTCATAGATCCTAATGGATCGTATTTCGTGGCTATCCAGGCTCCGCCGTTTATCCGCGCGGTTGTGACTGTTATTGGGACAGTAAAGCAGTCTGAGTTATGTAGCCAGTAAGGGTATTTCATATATGATCCATACCCTGGTCCATACTGGTACCAATGTACAGAAGCATGCACGATAATAGGTGCCTCTACGACGACTAGCGCCGCGCATGAGGTTTCACTTACCGGCAAGATCGAAATAGAATACCGGGTTTCCCCCCAGGTTTTCTTCTTTTTTTTCTTCCTACGGTTCTCCCTCGCACCCCTTTCTCCCAGCGTTCCTTTTTCTCACCGATTCCTCTTTTCCAGGCTACACCTATAGCACACGAGCAATGAGAGGTGCCATAAGCTTTGTCAACTTATGAGAATTCATCCTCCTGGAGATGATCTTGGTACTGGGATGCTGCCTTCTACATCTTTGTATTTCCAATCGTTGATGGAATCCAGGAAGGACTCTGGGGTCAACTTCGACAGCTCATTAAGAAGCGTAATGAGGTACTCTCCCTTGGTTAATTATCTGAGAGGGACTGTTTAGGGTGCCTTGGTTATATAGGGTAGCTGGAAGGGGGTTAGGATCCCCATGACTAGCTTGACTGACTCCTCTCATCTCGCGCCAGGAAACGGGATGTAAAGCGATTCCTTGAACTATTCCAGGGATTGATGACTTTTTAAATTGCCTCTATGAAGAATTCCAATGGGTACCCCATAACGCCGTGGTACATATGAACTTCCGGTAGTATGGACATTGGACACCCAGTTGACTTCTCCTTGGTCCTGAGCGTGTACCATGGGGTTGTACCTTTAGGAAAAAAGGAGGTAATTTTAATAGCTAGTAAAATCCCTTGAAGGAAATATCCTCAATAAAATTTACTTGTTACACGGGTTAAGGTATAATGATTACTATACCTATAGTGAGATATACTCATGGACCTCTTACTCATGGTAAACGAGCGTAGTATGAATTACTCGAAGGAAACGGTACGTACTATCCACGTAAAATATAGTAGTACATATTCTCGGTACTCTTTGATCTCAGGGCCGTAATTAATTCGTGCAGTCGAGTAAAATTCAATGTATACGATAATACGTCGAATATGAGAATAATTCGGTGAGACTCGTAAATCCGATTCCCAGCATCCTGCCGCAGACATGTGGATCTTATTTGCGCAGGATCTCACCCGAGACGGAGATGTCCTGGCGCCTTCTATGGGGGATGATGAATATCCCATGGGCGTGCTCAGGACACGAAGGGTAGCTCATAGTACCCGCCTACTGCATACTCTATAATTCCAGGATCTCTGCTGCCATCACTTCCTTGTTATTTCGCGGTCGGATAAATTGCTGTTTGCTTCTTTTGCGGGATGTTTTTACGGATTACACGGATCCTGGATGGAATCGTTCTTGCGTGACACATGCTGCCTGTAGAATATTCCGAAGTCACTGCCAACACGATAAATTCAAAGTTAAATGTATGAACAGAGCGAGGTAGAGAAAATATTTTTTCCCTAGCATCCTCTCTTCACAATTTTCTGTGCCAGACTGGGTTAGGAAATTAATATTTGGTTTAATTTCTTTCGTTGGATTTAACTTTGTCGTTTTCCTTCTGCAGCCAAACTTCAGGAAGTGGTCCGATTGAAAATTCTCAAGGTGGGTCCACCTATTTCTGGATGAGATGCTGGCTCAAACACGGCTGATGCTGACCGTTTACAGGATGCCTTCTTCCTCGCGAACGAACACGGACAACGCGGCATTCACTGGGAATTCTAAGGTTTATCGGAGACTCGGTAAATCATGGATCGTGAATGCCGCAATGAGAATAGTCACTGTCACTTCTTACGTTTTTTTTAGAACTGATCGGTTCTATGTTTTGTATTAGGCTATAGGTATTAGTTATTAGTTGTGCTAATATTAGTTCGTATTTTTTTACCATTTGTAGTACAATGTATCTAGTGATATGTATTTCTATTTTTTTTTAAATAGATCATTTTCATTCTGGCTTACCAAGTAGACGTGTCGTTCATTGTGCGATTTCTTAACCAAATCAATGTATTTCATAGGTTTATGGCGTAGACTAACATACACCTTATTCACATAATCCGCTAACCTCTATAATGTATTATTCATTACGTCTCCCATTTACAAGTAGGGCGCGAAATGATTTATGGTTGCGTGAAAATATATCCAGGAATTGTGTCGCTGAGGCGCTCTTTAAATTGGAAAAATTTACACAGAGGTCGACACTTTTGTACAGCCTTTGGATGCCGGTTATATGCAGCATAGGTTTGACATTTTGTATTTTTTTTTATTTCGGGGATTACGATAGGAAGCTGCTACCAAATCGATCTCGTATAAATAAATTATTAGTAGAACAGCGAACAACGATGGAAACTCATTGGACGTTGACGTAATGTCAAATGACTGTGTGATCACAAATGTGAAATTACATTTTATTTATAACTCGGGACACTAAATGGAAGAAATTCATGAGAGAGGAAAAGGAAAATTTCTTATTAGTAGATCATCTATGCTATAACGACGTTACCTGTTTGTTTAAATATTAAAAAGAATACAATTACAATATTATAAGTAGAAGAAAAAGATTTGCTACGAGATACTCAGGATGAAAAAATATTCATATCTTTTTTTTTTAATCACAGCGACGATATCGAAATATTTGCTCGACAAATTATTTCAAATTTGGCGTTCTTTATGAGTTATGATATTTGTATTTTTCTGTTCCATCGTTTATTTACACTTCAATCTACTTCAACTTTGCATATTCAAATAGTACTAAAGCGCTATTTATTATTTAAGTACTAAGTACCAAGTACTAAAGTACTATTCATCATTTCAAGACAAAAAAGAGCTATCTGTTATACTCACTTTTACTGTCACCCAGTACACACCATTCATCGGAAAATTTAAGATAAAAATGTAATGGATATTACTTATTTTTCTAAAGCGGAATATCCACATAATATCTGCAACTTTTAATACGGATGACAATAAATCCAACCATTTGTTTGAAGCATCTGAATAGAAATTTCTTAACGCACCTATGCACATACGTGTGTCGTGTATACAATTTCAATTTCGCTACTATAAAAAAAGAAATTTTGGAAGCTATTTCTTTTTATAAAATAATACAGGAAGCCACTGCGATTTTTTTTACCTTCGGCTGCAAATGACATTGATCATCTCCATTTTTACATATCTACTCGTAGTATTCGGTTAATAGAGTCTGCGCATTGGAAATTACTTCTATATAATGTATTATAAACCGTAATTAATTCTACGGAGCGTGTAGAATTAAATATTTCCCTAAAGAATGCACGACAATTTTTCGTATAACCTATTTTCATCTCGATATCAAAATCTATTTAGTATAATAATAAACTTTAATGTATACTATTGAAAATTTAAAGATGATAGATCGGAGACTTTTATGTATCTACCGTACATGGTGAAACCGGCATATAGAAAGAATAATGATTCATTCAACTAGTAATCTAGTCATTAATCAGCAATTATCAACCCGTCGTTTAACCATGTAATCAATTGATAAGGATTAGGTTCCTCCTTCTTGTTTTCCTTCTTCTTTTAAGAGTAAAAAACTATTCAAGATCGAATGCTAACTCGTTCTATCTATTCCATGGCGATGCTTCTTAGTACGTATTTGACAGTGTATGCAAAGGCTGCGAAGCCAATTATCACGACTAGGTTGGTGAGGGCACTGTGCAGGGGACTCTGATCTCTTTGGAATTGGTCTCGTATCAAGGAAGAAACTTCAGATGTTGTAGTCTGATGCCTTGCCTGTTTTTCAAGTTCTCTTCGATGCTCCACTTCTGCCTTGATGGCCTATGGAGTACAAGATAACAATGGAGTGGTGTCGCTTGCATTATTTTATATTTAAATGGAATGATTATGCTAGAGCAACTACCAAAACTGTTTCTGGAAAGAGTTCACAAAACATCTTGTCTTTAAGATTGTATTCCAAACTCTGGGCTGCAAGTTGCCTCTTCTCATAGTCTGTAGTGCTGATGCTGCCAAGAGTTGGACTCTTTTCAATCTGAAAATAACAGTTTAATAAATAACTCTTTTTCATTGTTTTTTTGAACAACAGTAATCCATGAAATACCATGAAACTGAGCAATCCAGTAAGGATTGTTGAAACGCTCCAAGCTGGATTCCAGGTATCTGGATGAAAATCCGAAATGGATAGACAGAGCCTGGTGTTTACTTGGAACCGACCATTTGGAGTGATCATGTATATACTGGGTGGTTGAAATGGAAATTGTCCAGGAAACACTAGTTTACCATGATAAAATCCACCTTCATACGGAGTGCTCTCTGGTCCTTTAACTACATAATGCCTATAAAATATATGAATTAATAACAATAAAACATATTCCATGAAAACTAAGCATGAAGTTCATTACCATTCTAAAATGTTGGAAGGAACTGGCTCGGCAAGAACATAAGGTACAGGATCTTTTTTAAGCCGCAAATAATCCTGTTTTAATCTAGCAGTTGCACTATTCGGTTTTTTATTCATCTTGACCATAAAGTAGCAATGTTCACTCCACGCTGTGAACTCTCTGTAACAATAACTGCTCAAAGAACTATTTTGATTCTTGTCAAAGTCCTATATTTCAAGATCAAATGATGTCACAGATAGGTGCTAGTGAGAGGTACCACTATTCTTCCTGTCAACGTTCCCAGAAGATTACGTGTCCGTAACCTATTTTATTAAGCGATGAAGTTCCAGATCACGTTAACCATAAGGGATAGGTTACTCCGTACAGTTTGATTAAAATCCGACGAAGTAATGACACAAGATGATTTCGGTCATACCGGATCTGATGATTAACGTATAATGAACGCGCTGTAAATTCTTATTGATCACTAGGCCCAAATGACGAACACTAAAACATCAAAAACTTTGACAACTATCATTTTTGCAATATAAAACATATGATAGTAAAACACATTCTAAGGTATACATAGTCTTGCGATGAGTCGTCATTGACTGATGGAACGTGCGAACATGAACTGTAACAACTGATTTCAAAGCATATTATGACAATTCATATAATCAATTATCTTGGAACTGACAATGCGTGTAAGATAAACATAAAGCGTATAAAATATATCATATTAGTTTAGATAAATATTTGAATACCGATGACTGAGTATTGGTTGATGAAAGATTTTCCCGAATTGTACTCAAATATATAGACAGTGGATAAAACAGTTTCAGAGCTTTGCAAAATCTTCGCTAGATTGCACTGTATTTTTTGCACAGAGTTTTCCTCATTCGTCCAGTACATCATCCTTCCTTCAGGGAGTCTCGGAAAATGATTTTTCTTTCAGGTCTACCAAGATAATCTTCACGAAATTACTGAATTTTCCCATGAATTTGTAGACTGGAAGCTAGGAGTTTATTTTGGCATTGGCTGATGCACTGATATGCGGCTTATTTTGTAGCAGACTGTCTATAGGTATTCATGCTCTTCAACTTCAGAACCATTCGGAGTGATGGAATGATATTTCGAGTTTTGAAGTGCGCTCGGGTTTTAGAAGCGTTTTACAACAGTGATTTGATATATCTGATGTATACTAAGCTAATGAATTTTAATTGTTACATTTCATAGACTGCCATTAGTGTACGATTGTACGAAACATGAAGCAAATCTTGTGTGGAAAGTTCGGGTAAGGTGATCCGGCATTTGCACTATTTAAAACAATTGTAATAAAGTTTGTGTTTTATTAGCTCTTTTTATTTGCAAGACCTTTGGCATAACATGTTTAAATATTTATATTTATTATTTATAATTATTTGCCACAGTTTTGAGATCATCACTATTGCCAGGTTATACCAATAGCAATGGTAGTACTCTTGTCTTACTCTCTTTTAGTTCCCACTCAAGTGTTATAACACTTTGAATATCTTTGTAGAAATCCATGGGATACTTTCAATTTATCTTTTAATTTATTTGGGAGTTTGAGAATTTTAAATACATATTTTTAAATAGGATGATATCGTACTATATATATATCATATATATTCCAATATAGAATGTTATGAAACAGCTCATTACCAATGAGAAAAAGTATGTTTTCATATTGTGAATGTAATTTCTTTCTGTTTCATTTAGGTATAGCATCCTGCTTATATCAAAAACATCAAACTGTCCAGTCACCCTGATCAATTCACGTAATGTGATGTCTGGAAGATTTGCTAAATTATATAGACCTATTTTAGCGTCACCACAGCCTCGTCACTTTATTAATTCTAGTCGGAGCTATGGCATGGTAGTTGCCAGAGTTCTAAGGGGTGTACTAAAAATCCGTTATCTATTACTGGGTGGAGCAGTCGGTGGTGGTGTAACTCTACAAAAGGTAATTGTTTATTTCTGCATTTATTATACATTGTCAATGGTTTTATTGGATTGTATAGTTTTATTTTTATATATTCGTAATGACTTATTACTCTCATAGAAATATGAACAATGGAAGGATGGTCTACCAGATATGTCATGGTTGGATGAATTAATACCAAATGAACAGCAATGGCAAGACTTTCGTGGTGCCATGATGACTTTCAAGAATACTTTATCAAACAAAATCGAAATTGGTAAGCTCTTATATTATATTGGTTTTAAATAAACATTAGTAAATGTGAGCTATGGAACATGGCGCAATGTAAACAGATCCCCGTATAAAGGAACTTGGAGAGGCAAAATATCGAGAATACAAGATATGGTTTGACCAAAGATTAGATGATGCCATTAAAGCAGCAGATAACCGTAAGGGTGACCAGCTAACAGACACCTCTCCAACGCGTGAGTTTATGGAAAATTCTAGGATCTTGGATTCCTGGTCACCTTATTCCACAGCATCCTGTTTCGATTCCTTCCATATTAATATTTCTTTGACATTTTTAACTGTCTCCTGCCTGGGTGAAAACTGATTGTTTTGCCAACAAAACGGGTTAAACTTAAATTTTGAATAATGAAAATTACAGCCAGTTTCCTTTGCAACTTGCCCTGATTTCCTGAGAAATACTTCCTACCATCATATAACATATCATGATTGCACCTTTTCTTATGTTATGCTTTTTTCAATCATTGTATGTACTATGGAAATGCTTTGTATGCTGCTTTTTTAATACTATCATTAATATATGATTTGGTCTGTTCTGTTCAGGTATATTTGAAGCGATCACAGCCATAGCAAACCAAGTTTACTCAGGTGTGTAGATATTAAAAATTTAATCTAGATTTATTCGTCTGTCCATTCAGCATTTTCACGGTTATTTCTTGAAAACTACACATCTATAGTGAGACTTAAATCAAATTATTGATTATATAATAGTAGTAAAACTTGGATTCTTGGCATTCTGTGTACACATATATAACAATGTTTTGCGCAATTTAAAAGTTGAGATTTTATATAACTCCAGTTAATATGATGAATTGAACGGATGAATTGAACTGAATTATAAAAAAATATATATGTATTTAATACTGAATGGGACAGACCTTGCAATTTCATGTGTTTTAAAAAATTGGAATGCGTTTTGCACTTTCAATATAAGTCTTTATATTTATCTCTTATTGCGATTTAACAAAATTATATTGCATATACACGAGTTAATACAAAGCATTCCAATCTGTAACCATTTTCATACTGATTCTTTATTACAATAATAAAATACTGAAAAACTCAAGGGTATTAACAGTGTTTACATCTTTTATTAGAGGCCAAGGGTGAACTGTCGAAGAATTCAGTAGCTTTTGCACGACCCTTAAATAATGAGAATATCGAGGAGGAACGCAGAAAAGCCCGTACGTAAATCCTAAAAAGAAAAACATTAATAAATGAAAGCTACAGGGATCATAAACTGAGATAACTCCTTCGACTCTACCACACAGAATCATCACAACAGAGATTGGATGCAATGCAGGAGGAAGTGATGCAAATGCAACTAAAATATCAACGAGAGCTGGAACGTTTGGAGAGGGAGAACAAAGAATTACGGAAACAAATGTTACTCCGTGGGAATCAAAAGCTCAACAATCGAAAAATCAAAGTAATTAAACTAATACATTTTTTTAGTACTAGTGTTCAGTACAATTTTTAAATTGTTTCTAGCACTCTTCTCATTTCAGAAATCACTTATTGACATGTACAGTGACGTTCTGGATGAGCTGAATGATTATGACAGTGCTTACTCCACTGCTGACCATTTACCAAGAGTGGTAGTAGTTGGTGATCAAAGTTCTGGAAAAACTTCAGTACTTGAAATGATTGCCCAAGCTAGAATATTTCCTAGGTACAGTATTTTTTAAGTGTGCCTTATCATTCATAAGATACATATTTCTCTAAGGTATTGTTATATTCTTAGGGGTGGAGGAGAAATGATGACACGTGCTCCTGTCAAAGTGACATTGAGCGAAGGTCCTTATCACATAGCACAGTTCAAGGACAGTACGAGAGAGTTTGATCTCACAAAGGAATCTGAACTAGCTGATCTGAGAAGGGAGGTCGAGTTGAGGATGAAAAACAGTGTGAAGAATGGGAAGACAGTCAGTCAGGATGTCATTTCGATGACAGTAAAAGGACCTGGTCTTCCGCGTATGGTTCTGGTGGATCTTCCTGGTATAATTAGTGTAAGAAAATATACATTAATTAAAATTCTTAAGAATCTTAAATATTTTATTAATTCTCAATTTCCATTTTTTTTTTTTGTAACAGACAGTCACTGTTGACATGGCTGAAGATACACGTGAAGCAATTCGCCACATGACGCAACAATATATGAGCAACCCAAATGCTATTATTTTGTGTATTCAAGATGGATCTGTGGATGCTGAGAGGAGCAATGTTACAGATCTTGTAGCGCAGATGGATCCAACTGGTAAACGTACGATATTCGTACTCACGAAGGTAGGCTGGATAAATATGCGTATAAGGAAGCTTATCTGCTTACAATTTTTGGAAATTAATCTTTCATTTTAGGTGGATATGGCTGAGGAAAATTTAGCCAATCCAGACAGATTACGTAAAATATTGTCAGGAAAACTATTCCCGATGAAGGCCTTAGGTTATTTTGCTGTAGTCACTGGTCGCGGTCGACAGGACGATAGTATACATTCTATCAAGGATTATGAGGAAAAATTCTTTAGGAATTCGAAATTATTTAAGTATGTTGAAGTATCCATTTGAATCTACATAATTAAGGGGTGTTAATGAATGTCACTTTATTTTTTTTAGAGATGGTTTGGCTATGTCGGGCCAAGTAACTACTAAAAATTTGAGTTTAGCAGTGGCTGAATGTTTTTGGAAAATGGTTAGGGAGACTGTCGAACAACAGGCAGATGCTTTCAAGGCAACTAGGTTTAATCTAGAAACCGAATGGAAGAATAACTTTCCAAGGTTTGAAGGAACACAATATAATTGTTTTACTTTTTATTTGAAATAAGTCATAAAACAGTTGATGGATCATTCTATGTAAATTAGGTTACGCGAATTAGACAGAGATGAGCTTTTTGAAAAAGCACGTGGGGAGATTTTGGATGAGATAGTTAATCTCTCCCAAGTGTCAGCGAGACACTGGGATGAAGTCCTGATGGCACGACTATGGGACAAAGTCAATACTCACGTTTTCGAAAATATCTATTTACCTGCTGCCCAAAGTGGAGACACGGGTTTGTATTATAGATTCAACATTTGTAATGCATTAAAAATATATATAATTTTACACTTATTTAGGAACATTCAACACTACCGTGGATATTAAACTAAAACAATGGGCTGAGCAGCAGTTACCATTAAAAAGTGTAGAAACTGGATGGGAAAGCTTGCAGCACGAATTCCAACAATTCATAAATCGTGCTAAGCTGAACACTGATCACGATGATATCTTTGACAACTTGAAAACTGCTGTAGTCAACGAAGCCATGAAGCGACACTCTTGGGAAGAGAAGGTATTGAAAGATTAAACGATTTGTACAAGGACTGCATTTTAATAAACAAAATTAAAAGAATGCATCCCATAACCTTAGGCTTCGGAGATGCTACGTGTTATCCAATTGAATACTTTGGAGGATCGTAGTGTCAATGATAAAAGAGACTGGGATCAGGCAGTGCAGTTTTTAGAAACTTCAGTAAAGGATAAACTCCAGAGTACCGAGCAAATAATTCGTGATATGCTTGGACCTGGACGTATGGAACGTTGGCTCTATTGGCATTATCAGACAGAGGAACAGAAAAAACGAGTAGCAGTTAAAAATGAGCTTGACAAAATATTATATAGTGACAAAGTAAAGTAAAATATTATCTATCATCTTTCTATGATATCTGTCTATCTTTAATGTAATCTGAAAATATTTTTTCTACCATTACAGAAACACACACCAACGTTAACACAGGATGAATTAACGACAGTTAGGAAAAACCTACAACGCAATGGATACGACGTAGATAATGAAGTTATTAAGGAAGTTTGGCATCCGGTTTATAGAAGATTCTTCTTGCAACAGAGTTTGGCCAGAGCTTATGACTGCAGAAAGGGTTACTTTCTCTATCACACGGGTCTCGATACCGAGGTATACCTGAAGCTAAAAAAATGATTGTTAAATCAAACAAATGAATTATACTACTATTATCATTCTTCTCTATATATTACAGATGGATTGCAGTGACGTTGTACTATTTTGGAGAATTCAACAGGTTATAAAAGTTACAGCTAATGCATTAAGACAGCAAATCATGAATCGCGAAGCGCGCAGGCTTGACAAAGAGATCAAGGAGGTCCTAGAGGATTACAGTCAGAACAACGAAATAAAAGCGAAATTATTAACTGGAAGACGAGTTACTTTAGCGGAAGAATTAAGTAAGTAACCATTAATTCATCAAACATTATATATTAGCCAGATATAATATAGTATTAATTAATTTTTAAACCCATCCATTATTCCTTCCTCAGAACGAGTTAGGCAGATTCAAGAAAAGCTAGAAGAATTCATTCAGGCATTGAACAAAGAAAAGTGAAATGAAGGAACCACAAACGAGTACGGACAAACCGAAGTTGCATCTTGTATAAAATGTCTATGAAGTCAATCCGGGTGGTTGGCTATTCTATGCCTGCTTAGGAACCATTGATATTAGCACTTAAGTCATCATACTAAGCATGTTCTTCGGTCGGGATTTGAATTCTTCAAATACCGTTATATCGAACCGTTCAGCATTTTTTTAATTTTGGAAGCCTGCAAAGCCCGACTTAGACCATACAAAGATGACGCAAAGTGCTTTGCCGATATTGTATCGATAGGTATGAATCTTAGTTGTGAACGTAGTGCGTGTTCATGAGAACAGTTGGTCATTAACAGGGAAAAATTGCACTTCGATCGTATAAATCGAGTAAACAGATGCCAACCCCGGACGTACCATTGTACATTACAGCATGTAGAAAACCTTGAAATGTTGAAAAAAAAACCTTAATTGGCGTCCGATGTGTATAAGCGTTGTTATAAGAATCCAATTAAAATAAATATAAAAAAGTCCTCCTTATCATACATGCCAATTTCACCGTTGATTGAAAATTAAGAACAACAACAATAACAATATCTTTCCTGACAATACGTTATACACAGACGAGAATCAACTAGCAATATAGCTGTTCTGCTTTCTGACGGTTTAGGTCCAGTCACACCTATCTTTAATATAAGTTAAATATATACTTAACAAGCATGGCATAAAAAAGAATTTTTTAAAGTCTTCGAGCGACAAGGAAAATGCAAAAGATAAGTTAAACGGGAAAGTTCTACCTCTAGTCAAGATTCACTACAACGAAAGACCCAATTCATAAATTGGGTCATGAATTCATAAATGCCTTTGCGAGCACTGCCAGGACATCCCGGGGACGATATTTGACGCTGCAACCTCCGTTTTTTCTCACCGAGCAAGCTCAGTGGGTTAGACGTGAAGTACCTCGTCCGTCGCCGGTGGCGGAACCCGTCAGTCATTGATCTCCGCGCAAAATGTTTCCGACAGAGGGTGCCTAGCAGGTGCTCAATAGCATCCGCACCTACCCCAAGTGAAGTCGACCCAAGATCACAAGCACAAGCAGAACTTTACCCAGAGCCAACAGACTACATAACAAGACTACAGAAAACATAAGGAGCATTTAAGGAGCAGATTTTTAGACATTACAAACATACATTAAAATTTTTATTCTCTGACGCTAACTTCCCGACGGTACGCCTTGTTTATACATATGTATATCTTTTATCGAATTGTAGAACCACTACTGCCGACAAAAGTGATTTCGTTCTTATCGATATAGTTTCCATAAAAGCTTCTACTACCGGATTTGCAACAAACAGAACAAAAATTCACAAAATATCAAAACGCCCTAGGAAATGCTAACAATAAATGCCCCCCATTCCAAAGATTCACAAAAAACAATATGTAGGTAATACATTTACATCCAATAATACATATATATCCAATATTTTACCACACGTTCCGCTCCATGCTATGACCGAATTTGAAATTTAATATCCATCGCGAGCTGCAAAAAAACAGTTTCTCTTCACTGTTTTTTCCATTTCCCATCAACCCTTAGTAATAATGTAAGTCCAAGCATCCCTTCGCAGCGTGTTCGCTATATATATACATTCCCATACAATGAAGGTGGGCAATGTGATCGTTGCAGCGCCGGCGTATGGTATGTCTCTGACGTAACGTTTGCGTTACGTCAGAGAGTCACTCACTAGTGGATGAGAGAGAGAAAGAGAGAGAGAGAGAGAGAGAGAGAGAGAGAGAGCACTGATGTGAGAGGGTAAGCGACAAAGGGTGATGGGGATGGTATTACTGGTCACCCAGCGTAAGCGGAGGGGTTGTCTGGGGTAGTATTCCTTGCGTGAGATGCGAGTGGGGATGCACGGCGTGGGCGCCAGGGAATAGCAGTGGGGGTGGCACGTCAATAGGAGAGTCCTCGAAGGTTGTTGGTGGGGGGGTAGGTAAGCTCGATAGGGGTGGTGGTAACGTCGAGGCCATAGAGAATGTGCAGGAAGCCAGAGTGAGAGGGGGGAGGGGGGGTGACTCTCACCGGGAAGCCAAGGTAGGGGTTTGGGTAGGGCAGAGTAGGGTAGCCTAGGGGTGGAAAGCTCGGATAAGAAGGAAGGGACTGTGGAGCCACGGCGCACCGCCACTGTGTCGCACTAAAATGTGACTCGAGGCACCGAGCGTACCGAGCCCGAAATTCCATTAGTTTAGGAAAGTACGTACACCTTGGATCTCCCGCGGTCGAGAGGAGCGAAAAGAAAATAATAATAATAATAATCGGGGATAGCCTTGAGAAAAAAAAATCTCTACCGCGCGAGCCCTTACGTGCACCGAAGTATACATATCATTTTACTCTAGTTGAAGAAGAGGGAGAGACAGGGAGAGAGAGAGAGAGATAGACGGAGATATAGCCGAAAGAATACGTAAGCGAGAGAAAGAGAGAGAGAGAGTGTGTGTGTATCTGAATGAAAGAAGAACGAGAAAGAGAGGAATATTAGATGTAATAGTGTGTGAGAGAGAGAGAGAGAGAGAGAGAGAGAGAGAACAAGAAAAAAAGTAAATAGGAGAAACAAAGACAACAGTGAGATTATCTAGTAGATGGGGAATGAGAGAGAGAGAAAGAGATTGAGGAACTAGAATACCTCCTTGATAAATTTTCTTAATGTACTCGAATGCTACTACTTGTCATTACGGATGGAAAATACTCGCGTGTAACCGATGACTGAGTGACGTCATACGAAGTGGCTGACAGCTGGTTTTTTTTTAAATATAAATAGTGATCCTTGTGACGGCGTGACGTGAAGGAGAGCGGGGAAACGCGAGAACAAAGGAGTAAGAGAGTAGGAGATACCGAGGTAAGTCTTGTTGGATTATTTTCGATTTTATCTTTATTCATGCACGAGTTTATCACTGGCCATCTTGACACGTTCGCACGCTACTTAGGTATACCTTTCCTTGCGTATTCTTATCTCTTTTCTTGTCACTCTGATTACCTATTGTCATTGTCACATTGGTAACAGACATTGTTTCTAATATTAATACGTACGTGTTGCATCGTTCGACATTTTTTATTTACATTTCTTGTACATTCTAATAAATATAGTCTACGTTTCCTTTTAGCATAGACTGTACTTGTTTCGTTAAAAATATTTGATGGTAACTTGTGTTACTTGTCTAGCCCTTCGTAGATCGTAAAGAGGTTATATGTCACTTACCAGCAGTTCGATTACCGTTAGTGCATATCTCGTGTCACAATTGACAGTTCTTCTTTTTAATCCATTTACGAGGAAATTATGCAAATTCGTCATGTCCTTTATTTAGGTCGAATACATTTTTCATTAGATTTGTCTGTTCGATATAAAATTTTCACTATTAGTCTGATACGTTTTTGACTTGTGCATTTCTTTTTCTTCTTCTTTCGCACTGATTCTGACTCTCGTATTTCGTGCCATGGCTAACCTAAAGTTGTAGGTTATCCAAATCGAAATTCTCAGTGAATTCGTGGCAGGTTCAGCGGGCATCGATCCGTCCGCCTCTCTTTTCGCAATGAATTTTCGCTTGCGCGTCATCTCCTTTGCCTACCTAGAGACAATTATGTATGCACGTAAAATATTCTAGGTTACCATAAGCGCCAACGTACGAAAATAACATGGATAGAAATTAAATCGTCTATAGGCCTGTTTGATACTTGTTGAGCCGGCAGTTATCGAGAACGTTGAGTTTTTCTAACGATTCTTTCTATTTGAATGATATTGTGTGTGCATACATATATTTACAGGTGTGGTTATTATTGTTATAACGTGAGGACAGGGGTTGTCAGCTGAAATCGATTGTGGCTGCAGCTATTATAGGCAGGTTTCGCCTGACAGGAATTTTGTGACTGCAAAATCTATTGATTTGTTTGGGTCAATTATTTTGAAAGTAAATCAAAATCGAAATTTTTCACGGTTTTAGGTATATATTCAGAAAAATTGTCATACGTTAAACTTTTCTTTTAGTATTTAGCACTCATCTAATTTTCATTGAGACTATCAGTAACGGTTACACTTTAGTATCGTTTGAGAGGAAAAAAAATAATCGCACTAAGAGAAAGTTAGAAACGTCCGCTTAATCCGTTTAGATCGATCGAGTGGCGCTCGTTAATTCAATTCCATTTTCATGGCCGTGTGCGACAACCCTCCTCGCATGTTACATTCTCAACGATGTGAGGTTGACGTTTGTACGAGTTTTTGTCCCTTTTTTTTGTCAAGGCAAGTAACTTCATATATGTCTAGCGGAACGTTGAGAAAAATTGAGTGGAGTTTTGAAAAAAAAAAGTGAAAATAAGTTCAAAAATAAATATAATGACGCTCGTGAAATATATTTGTATCAAGTTGCAAAAAATTTGCTGTTTCGAAATGTGGACAAATATGTTTTTCAGCAAAGTTGGAGTAATGTGGCCGATATTAAATTTTTATCGTTTCTTTATCATAGAGGGGTTGTTGTATAGCCTTTCCTTAGCTCTTTTACTCACTTACAGCCAACTTTGTATACCATTCCCTATAGAGATCAGTTATGTTTATGTCCAATCCTGGGGGTTTAAATATTATAACGATTTGGAAACTTAACACGGTTAGGCTGTAGCTCCAATATTTCGTAATATTGCTAAAACCACCCCTTGTACATGTATATGATATGCTAATGAATTCCTAGGAATTATTAGACCCTCTATACATGGGGAGACTGGAGCCTGGAGACGGTGTCTCTGTCGTCCTTGGTACTTCCAGTTGAGTCACGTGTTTCGGAACTTGTTTAACTAGAAAGCGAAAGTTGTCGTTTTAGGAGGAATTTTCCCTTGGAGACTTTATACGTCTTAGATGGTAATTTTGGTTAGTCGTAAATTATTTAAAATATTAAGATTGGATATGAAATATGAGATTTTAGGGGGTTTTTGAAATTATACGTCATTTCTCATATTTTTAACTTTAGCTGGAAAACGTTTGGAAATTTGTTCTGGTTATCTTTTTTATCTCGAGTCTAACTATTGCTATACTCTTGATGTTCATTCAATTTCGTCGTCTCTTATTATTTCACGGTAAAGATAAACTTGGTGGAAATTATAGTGTATGTCCACGGGAATATGGTCCAGTGCAAGTCGATGGGAAATGAAAACTGCAGGAGTAGTAGGTAGGAGAGTTGGTTCGATAGTTTGAGAAAAAGAGAGGGTCGTAGAACCCGTTGTGTCACTGCTTTTGTTTCTTGAGTCCTGAAACTGAACTGAAGAACGTTAACCTGAATCCCGTGAATTGCGAACGATTTTCTTCTAGATCTCCCCTTTAGGGTACTTTTAATAATTTTTTTCTTTTTCTTTTTCTCGAACAAGTCGATGCCCATGCGGTGCTCTGTTGAAGGACATAGTCGATGAACGTTTGGTTGATGAAAAGAAATTATCAAAATTTTGAAAAAACTAATTGTTAGAGTTGCGATACCTGCTATTACGTGAGAATAAAAAAAATGGGATATTTTAGGTGTACATAAAAAATTTACGTGAAACCTCTTTTATTTTCGAAAATTCGGAACACGTTTTTCCAAAATATTGGTAACTGTTTTAAATGTGTAATACAATTCAGATCACGAGAGTGGTCCTGGAATTTAGATGTTACAAAAAAAACTTTTTTTCACAGTATCGCACATCCAATTCCTCGGCATTAAACCAATATTGCACAGCAAGTTTAACCTGGCTATTTGAAAAAAGCTTGACTATGAATCAGCCGGTTACGCTTGCATTGGAAGCAATCGTTAAAAGGGAGAGGAAGAGAGGGAGGAGAATTTAAAAAAAAAGATAAAACAGCATATAAAAAATAAACTAACCTGAGCACACTCCTCGTTGAATTTTCCGTGATTCACAGAGTGCGATAATCTTCAGGAAACATGCGAAGTTCCTCACGTTCAGTAAACATTAGAAACGAGCCATTTTGCTTAAGGGCGATACAATTTCCAAGATTTAAGTAAATAACGTGACTGTCTACTAAGCAAATTTAAAAAATTGTCTATTCCTTCTATGAAAAATATTCCTATCACGGGAAAGCAAAGTTGACCTAACCTAACCTACAAAAATCCATTTGACATGCATATGCATGTAACGACGCTGGATATAAAAGCACGGTGGAACAGGGAGCTTAAAATCGTAAAATACTTTGAAACTTACTCGGCGTTGAAAATGCCGCTTTATTAAAGCAGGTTCATCGAAGTGACTCTAGAGTGTCAACAGCCGTGGCTGGCGATGTATGTATGTACGCGCTATTAGCAAATGGCGGTCGGAAAGGAGTTTCGGCTGTGAATATTCGTGCTGTAGCTGGCAGGAGTCGACGTTACAGACTAATGGCGAACGTAAAAATGACCGAGGCACAAAAGGAAAAAGCGCGATACAGGACTGAGAAGAGAAATATAATAAAGAACAAAGATAAAAGGAAAGCCAGTAACAGAGATACGAAGACAATTATACACAGCCAAAAGTGAGTAGGTACACGTAATGGATTGAGTACACGTCCAAAAACATCTCTTATTTCCCTTTCATATATACTTCCTTTCTTTTTAAAGCTAAAAGCCTCTAAGGTGTATCCAACGATTACTCCATTCTTTAGCAGTCTTTGCAATCCTTACCTTTATCGTCCGTTGCGATTGGCTATCCGTTACAGAAGGAAAACCAAGCCCTCGGGTACTACCGTAGGATATACAGCAGTGGATACCTAACCTCACTCTGTGAAGCCAGCGATGAACGCGTCAAACCTTATCTTGGAAAAGTCAGAGATGGGTGATATTCACGGAAAATGAGTATGTAACGAATACAATTTACATACTTATCAGGTATTGAAAAATGTTCTGCATTCGTGTCTCTCATTTTTATATAACAGTCCCACGTGTTACTTCTCTGCCTGAATAAACTCTCGCCAATTCACTAGGGACGTCGCTCACTATTATATTCTTACTTGGCTGTGTTGGCTTATAGGTTAGGTTGACTTCCACGAATAAATATTCAAACAGATTGCTAACGACCTGGCTAGCCGCGTAATCCCTGCGTACCAGGCTACGTTACGGATTATATAAATTACGACGCGACAAAAATTATCCCGTACCATTAACGAGAAACTATTTCGATTTTGATCTTCCTTATCAATATCAGATAAACATTGAGTGTGCCTGGAGAATATAAAATTACGTATTAATACCGGCTATATATGTACATGTTAATGCATGAATAAAGGGCTTTTTCTGTAAATATCTAGATATATTGTGTTGCTATCTATTTCGTCTAATGCCGAAATTACAATTGTTATTTGAATATATGCGTTGGATATGAGTACGTATGTACTACGCTATTTTGATTCTTGAGTATCATCCTGCTTTTCCGTGATGATTTTCATGAATCCTGTTTTTCACGATTTATTCACTATGCTTTTTGTGTAATTATTAAAAAAGAAATATGGGAAACATAAAATACCTTTAAGCTATTTTCATTCCTACGGTGAATCCCCCTTGTCGCCGTAGATAGGATCTTTGATGTTTAGTTCGTGGAAGAGTGAAAAATTCTTTTAGAAATAACGTCAACGATCTTTTTTTTTTCGCGTGGTATACATGAATATCTTTTTCAGAGGCAACATAGGGATTAATTTTTTTAACCTATCGTAACAGGATACGCGTTCTCTGTTATTTATTGCGAGAAAATAATTTATTGTTATTCTGATCGTTATGAATATCATACGAAAAGCCTAATGATGATTTACTTGTATGAATTTTTATATATTTTCTTGCTTCCTATTTCTATTTTTTCTGCATAAAGATCTGATAAAAACGAGGCTTCCGCTTCGTCGTTAGG